CCACAAGCAATATCCATCCACTGAGAAAGCTACTCCAACAATTCTATAGTAGGAATCTGGACAAGCCTGGTTTGCAAAAGAGATGGATGAAGATAGTGGAACTAGAAAATAAATTAGAGAGAGAAAAGACATAGTCAAACTGAACTGAATTTAATTGATTTCAAAACAAAAGAAGAAAAACTAAACTAAGACTATATAATTAGAGCCTCCAGCTCCTTCTGTAAAGATCTGTAACAACTACTCATAATCTCACTGCTGGAAAGAGTAAGCAAGATGCCCACAGTATAGATAGTTGTTATATTTTTAATCCAAGCCTGCAGAGATGCACTCTGTAAAGACTATATTGCTATAGTTCTGCTGTGCTCTTTTGCAGGCAGAGCACTCCTGTTCTGGTAATGACTGGGCCCCAGCTCTAGTCACAAGAATACTCTTGTAGAGCTGGACATGGACAGCCAACTGATTTGAATTATCCAAACCAGCAATAAGCACAGGCCTTTGAATAGGCTCACAACACCATGTCCTTTCACAGGCAGACAAAGCTTGTGCCCCTGTGTGGGGGGGGAGGCCTGGGAGGACCACCAGATTGGCCTGTGATGCACCAGCAAAAGTAGCAGCTGGCAGCATTTGGGTGAAGGTGGTCTGGGACCATGGCACCCACAAACCCTGCTGGTGCAGGGGGAACAACAACAACAACCTAAAGAAGGTTAGCTGTGAACTGAAATGTGATAGAGGATACTCACATTTCCAGCTGGGGCCAGAGCAACAACTGTGAGGGGGGGAGGCAGAGCAGCAGAACCCTAACTCCATCAGCATGTGAACCAATGTCAGCTTGTGAGAAGCACTTACAGCTTGAGCTAGTGCAGAAGAGATGGTGACAACTGGTGAAGAGAAAGAAGAAGAAACAACAATACTCTAGAACTGTCAGTCACAAACACTTCTTAAACTTCTTGTGACTACTCATCAAAGGCCCAATCTCATCTGTAAAAGGGGGGGTGGAGATTCTCCTGAGGGAGAAAAGTAGAGATAAGTCACAAGAAAGAGAGAGAGAGAACTGCACACTGGCAGCAACTGCTAGCAAGCATCAGTCTCTCCACAAACCAAACCCCATATGAAGACAAAACTGAATGGCCATGTGAAGCAAAGACACAACCAGAGATGAACTTACCAGCTTGTGGTCTTTCAGCTAATCATGCAGAATGTCAAAGTGAAGCCATTTTTCTTCCAGAATATCAGAGATCTCCCACAAGTCTGTCTCCCATGTGAAGCAGTGCTTGAAGGGTTCACTTATCTTTGTAAAGATGATATAGACTAGAGAAGAAAGAGAAGAAAAGAAGAGAAAGAGAAAGCAAGAGAAAGCTTTCTCTTAAACTAGTGTTCATTATCTAATAGTGACACAGAGCTAGCAAGAACAATAAAGACTCTCTACACATTGTTGTATTATTGGGTTCTGTTGTGTTATTAGAGTTGTGTTGATATCACATCTCTAGTGAGGCTGTACTCTTTTTCTTATAAGAAAATTTTTATTTTTCTCAAGAGGTTTTTTATTTTTCTACTCATGAAGATTTTTAATGAGATAGTCATCTTGAGAGACCAAGACTTACAAGAGAGGAGAATCTGTAAGAATTTGTTACAAACCTCTTACACAGATGAACAGCACCTGTGAGGGCCAGAGACCTCAGCTCACAAGCTGCTGGGAGTTGCATGTATTCTTGCAAGACACTAAGTCATGTGCTTGTGAGCACACATAAAAGACCATCACTGTGTGAATCTCTTGCTGGAAGTCAGTGGCAATCTTGTTTACAAGTTGTATATAGTTGCCAGAATACAGATCTTTTACCTTGTGTACTCTTTTTTCATGTATATTCCTTCTAGAGATTCATTGTCATGCTGATCCACATGTATGATCCTCACATATAGTAAGTAATGAATACAATTTGCAACACATTATCTGTACAAGAGCTCTGACTTAGCACTCTGCTCTGGGGTAAACTAGAAATTATGGCATACAGAAGAGATATGCTGATCAAGATACTCTGTTCAGACAACTCTATCAAGAGAACTATATTCATTCTCTTCCAGCTGTTTATTGACAGATTCAGTCTATATTGAAACATGTACTGAAATATAACTAGCTTCTATATAATCTCTGCAGGACTTAATAATTCTAAAAGAAGATGATAAAACAATATATATATAATTACTCTCAGGCCTCATACTACAAATTTTCCTGATGTTATGGAGATGTTGGCTTCTGATTTACAAGCAGTTGAAAGAGGATTTGACATTGTGATAACTGATGAAGAAACTATCAGAGTCATTGCTTCTTATATTACTTATCTTGATAACATGCTGCAGTAAAATAATAATACTGAAATCAAATACTCTACTACAACAGTCTTCTGTTGAAGCTGTACTGTCTCTGATGTGGAGAGATTTAATATGAATTTTGACTTGGTGAAACACAGCTGATATCATTACTAGTTACTTAATTTGTGAGCTGAAATTAAGGTGAAGCAGACTGTTTGGAAGTGAGAAGCACTGTGAAAAATCTATAAATTAGTCAAGAAAAGTTCTCTGGTTTTGAAGATCTACCCAGCACTAAATCTGATAATATTTTTTCTCTCTGATCTCTGTTATAGTGAATTTTCAGGCCTGTTCAAAATTGTGCATATATTATTAATATCACATATATTGATATCTGAGGAGCAGAAGAAATACTGCCAAATTCTACAGAGATTTCTATTTTGAAGATGCTGAACCTGACTGCAGTCTCTAATTATTTATCTAAAGTTCTATCAAATTCAGAAATATATCTGAGCTTCAATTGTAATCTCAATTATACTCTGCTTTGCTCTAAAGTCTGACTGAATTCAGACTGTTGTTCAGCAGACTCTCTATAACTTCTTTAGTAAACAGTTAATTAATTCTGATATTCTGTGTTTGTTGCTTGCTAAAATCTTTAGTACTATTGCAAGAAGTAATTCACTATTGACTTCTCAAATATCTGTTGAGTATAATGAACTTAAAAGTGTGATTGCCAATGTCTGAACTATACTTCAGAAAGTAATAGATGCTACTATCATGACTGCTGAGACATTATGGTTAGCTAGCCAGACAGTATAGATGCTGAGATCACAGCAGAATTTACTAGTGTTTAATCAGATTATTATATTTCTGACAGAGAATATTTCAATCAATACTGTCAGTATTGCTCCAAAAGCAGATAAGATATTATATGCTTTGAAACACTGACCAAACATATATATTAGAGTACACTATACTGACCAGTGTAAGGATTCGCCGCGAACCCCTTACACGGACGAACAGCACCTGTGAGGGCCAGAGGCCTCAGCTCGCGAGCTGCTGGGAGTTGCATGTGTCCTCGCGAGGCACTAAGTCACGTGCTCGCGAGCACACATAAAAGGCTGTCACTGCGCGAACCCCTTGCTGGGAGCCAGTGGCAATCTTGTTTACAAGTTGTACATAGTTGCCAGAATACAGACCTTTTGCCTCGCGTACTCTTTTTCCATGTATATTCCTCCTAGAGATTCATTGTCACGCTGATCCACACGTACGATCCTCACAACCAGGCAAAGAAGTATGCTGTGTCAAATAACTACAATATACTGATTGAGAAGAATAAACACTGTAAATATAAAGTATTTGTACAGTGAACTAACAAGCATAATATTAAAAAGATTTTACTGATTCATAAGAGCTTCAAACACACTATATTCTTGACTCTTGATGGAGCTCTTATGGAATTGGAACTCTATATCACCAGCCAGATAAAGCAACTTCATCACAAATATTTGATTCTTATGCAAGATCTTGTGTGATCAGAACACAATAAGCAACAAGATAATAATGAGAATGCTGATAAAGCTGATAATTTATATACTACCACTCTCTTTTATATCTTAATCAATATCTACTGCCAACTACCAGCTAGCTGTAAAGTCATGGAATTACTTGATTTACAAAGTATACAGCTTTCTGAACTACCAGTTATATATTTCTTTTTACAAAAGCTCTAACTTTCATACAGCAGTGATTAGGCATATTAATATATGCTTGATAGAGGTTTAATCCCAATCTGATTATTTTAAAAGCTAATCTTTACATTTAATAAAGATGCATATTGCACTACATTAAAACTTGATAATCTGATTAAGTATACTTGTGCATTGGACACCAAGATTGAGCAAATAAGATATATATTCACCCACAACCAGGGCAGCTGCTGAAGAGTTTTTTTTGCTATGTTCTCTGCTTATGAAATTCAGCACAAGAGAATACTGGATTTGCTGATTTTACAGATGAATTGGAATGAGATTTATATAATTGATCTATCTGCAATCTGCAAATCAAGTCTTTACACTATATCTGTCAGTAAAGATTCTGAAAGACTTGAACTAGATTTTGCTCTGCTGATTATCTTTCTTAACTGCACTTGAAGCATTTCCTTTTTATAGATAGATCAGATGATTTGATGTATGTAGTATTGCATATTAGTTGAAATCCAATTTCTCTCTCCAGTGTCTGCTGGGGTAACTATACTATAATGGTTTCTATACTATAATGGTTTCTATACTATAATGGTTTCTATACTATAATGGTTTCTATACTATAATGGTTTCTATACTATAATGGTTTCTATACTATAATGGTTTCTATACTATAATGGTTTCTATACTATAATGGTTTCTATACTATAATGGTTTCTATACTATAATGGTTTCCCTCCACATTTATAAACCTGAAAAGGTATCCCAAACATTCCTAGATATATTTGTTGATCAGGGGTTTCAATGTTTCCTGATTTCTATGTTGAGGATCAGAAGCTATATTTCTGAATTTGGAATGTATATATTTTTAAACTTCCAAACAACTGTGGATTTGGATAAACATATATTCCGATGTAAATGTATCAGGACTAGTGGATCTACGGTTTACAAATCCTCCCCATTTCTGCTATGGTCTTTTCCGGAAAGGGTAAACGGATGAGCTTCGGGCTTCGCAGACTGCGGCATCGGGAGCGGTCCGTGTGGATGTCATACTTCAGGAATTCTGATTTACTTGCACCAGCCTGAGAGTGTTGGGTCGCCCTGAGAGCGAATGGCCCTGTTCTGTTGATGCGCTGCGGATACATGAATTGGACCACTTTTTGAGATTCCGTCATACTTGGTAGTACGCAGTTCTAGCTACCGGATCCTACAATGGCTGCGACAACAAGGCTTGTAGTAGCAGGTGGAAGTGGATTCCTGGGTATGATCTATTGAATTCTGGCGGATGCAGCCTGATCTCCAAAAACCAAAAGCTAAGATTTTGCTGCTAGGGTCTAGAATCTGCAAGTCCGCCGTCACCCGAGGGTGGGATGTCGTCTCCCTGAGGTACCTCTTCAGCAATCTTCCCATATGTTTCGCGGCCTCGCGTATCTAGGACTAAAGCATATTCTCCTGTAGTCGACATGGCGAGCCCGCATGGGACACAGTCTCCTCGTCTGCTAATCCTCCGCGATGGGCAAAGTCTGTGAACTGGGTCAAGGCCGACGTCATGGACCCTACCACGTATCTGCCACATCTCAAGAACGCTACGGCCGTCGTGTACTCACTGGGCATCATTTTGGAAGCGGACTACAAAGGAATTGTACGGGGAAAAGAATCGCTGTTCGGCGGCATACAGAAGTTGTTCTGTTCGTCTAAATCACTAGAAAACGGAAAACAAAAGAATCCGCCACACTTAAGCTATGCGGTCATGAATAGAGACCTAGGTGAGCATCTATTCATATACATGCAGCGAAAATAGCAATGCTAACGATAACCGCCGAAATAGCTCTAACGCTAGCAAAACACTCGTCCAACGAGAACGTCCCGACCTTTGTCTACATCTCTGCGGAAGCGGGTGGACCCATCTTGCCCTCAGGATACATCACGTCAAAAAGACAAGCGGAGTCCTTGATTTCGACGGATTTCCCAAATATGCGTAACATCTACGTCCGACCCACGTTCATGTACGATTCATCTCGTAAAATGACAATGCCGATTGCGTTGGGCGGGATAGTAGGATCCGAAGTCAACAACTTGCTCGGCGGTAGGCTATCATTCATGGGAATTATGACCGCTAAACCATTAAAGGTTGGCACCGTCGGCGAAGCGGTAGTCGAGGCTATTGGAGACGGCGTAACGAAGGGTGTGATGAATCCTAGGAAGATCGAAGACTTGGCGACTAAGGGTTGGAGGAGGACCATGCTTTGAAGCAGGGCGTAGCCCACATTTTCTCCCGTCAGCCATCATTCTTGTGGCAAGAATGTGTATAATATGGGTGTATTTTGCATTGCTGGTCCGGATATTTTTTTTGTAAATTATCGATCTCGGCTCCGGGAAAACCTCTCAGATCATCGTTCCTCGTTCGAAGCTGTCTCGAATTTCAGCAGTATACTGGAACACTAAGGTCAGTATTTCTATAATAAACTAATCGTTTTGGAAGCGAGGCATACCTTGTTGTAAAATCTCGCCAGCTTCTGGTTGAATCGCTTGTTCTTGTCGTTGATATATGTAACATCGCCGCCGTCGTCGTCACCAAGGCCACGTTCTCTGCGTTTCTTCAAACGGATCTCCTCCGCCTTCTGCAAGTCGGCAACCAATCTGTCCACTGCTTGCCGATCGGGTCGATTTTGCGTGAATTCTATCGAGTCTGCAGTAGAGTAAAATGTACCATTCTTATCCACAGCGACCAACTCGCCATCTTCGCCCTCGATAAGATCAAGGCCTCCATTTGCAGCGGCACGCATAACGGCATCAGCCTTCTGAGCTTCGTACGCATCGAGATTCGGTTCCATTCGTCGTAACTGCCTCTTGTAATTTTTATGAGAGTCTTGACGCCAGTCTTGAAACGCGACGTTATCCCGGTGCTTCTGTTTCTTCTCCATCCTTCGGTCCCATTTTTCTGACTCGTCCACTGTCCAATCCCAGGCTCGCTTACGCTCAAAGTCTTCGCCGGCGGCCTCTATGTCAGCTTTGAGGAGGTTATGTGATGCAAAGGCGTGTTTCCGGGAGATAGAATTGAGGAGACTGGGATCTGTAGATAGTCTGCGTGATTCAGCGGCGGTTTCCTTGAGGTTGCTTTTTGCAGCATGTTTCTATTCAAAAAAATTAGCGCCGACCTTTTACGGCTCGCCATGGATAAGTTAACTCACTGCTCTGGTTTGCAATGCTTTGAACCTCTCTAGCCTCTGTTTGTTCTTAGAAACCAGACTATCTACCGGCTTCTCCCCATCTTCTTTGGGTTCTGGTGCGGCGGCATCTTGAGAAGCGGGTTCCTCATCTCGAGGTGCTTGAGGGCTCACTGGCCGCTCGGGTGTCGCCGGTGTCGTCTCTTCTGTTGCCATGCCTATGCACTTAAAATCCAGATGTTTGTTTTTGTCAGATACTGGGCTTTGATGCGAGGCCAAATTTTCAAGCCAGCTGGATAGAAATAAAGGCGTTCGGGCGTCAATAGCTGTGACTATCCGATGTTAAAATAGCAGCATTTCCCGGTCATCGTCCCATGAAGCTTGACGTGAGCAGCGTTTCGGTCGCGTCTGTAACTCCTGCGGCTTGGCAAAAATGGATTATATAATCTATGACTAACGTTATTTAATTACCATATGCTTGCAGCGAGTTCAGCACGAAGCTGGTCTGGGGGTTTGTGACAATGGCAATGTCAACCTCAGGCAAGTCTCAATGATCACAGCGACCTCAAAGGCTTGCCGGCTTATTGGGAGCAGACAGTTGAAGCCTGCCCTTGCCCCATCGACGGGAGTAAGATGGTATTCCCAAGCCACGCAGCCTTGCCATCGAAAACTCCCCCAATCCTTCCCCGAACTTCCGCGAACACAACTCTTTCGATATGTGCTGACAGGGTCAACACGGACGTCCAGAAATGACAAACTAAGTACAGACCTTGACGGGCAATTGGAAGAGCTATTCGCAAGAGAGAAACTCCCCAAGAAACTGGGCGAAAACGCGCCCAATGCACAAGGTGGCCCCACCGAGCTCCGCCTACGCCTAAAGGACGGTGATGTCCTATCGAAAATACAATCCGAGATCCAAATAAAAGTCAAAGACCAAAATGCTGGAACCAAACTTGTTAATTCCCTCCCTCTACTCCGAGAGGCTCTTGCTCAATGCGAAAGCGAAACGCAATGGGACGATCTCCTGGCAACCATCAACGGAATTTTGGCAAGGCTTCAAAAGCTCGAGGTTGCGGATACCAAGGAGTTACTTCTTTTGGGCATGCGATACGCGGCCCGGTGCTTCTCCGCCCCAGCATTGCGACATTACTTCAGCAAATACTCTGAGGGTGGATATGGCTACTTGACCCCGGAAGCTGCCAATGAACTCGTCAAGGACTTGGCCCACGGCCTAGAGATGAGAACCTTCGACGATCCTAGGATGGATAAAGTTATTTCGGGCATTAATGGCCACGGCTCTCTCTCCGAGATGCTTCGTTCTCTTCTCGATTTATCACATCCATCAGAGTGTGCCTTTCTCGAGGCTTATGTCAAGCTTTTGGGCCAACTTGGTGACCAGAAACGATTGACCGAGATACGGCCACTTATACAAACCGATATGGCGCACGGTCGAACAACAACGTATCTAACAAACGCAGCGGTAAATTGTTTGGAGGCTCTGGTCAAATCGGGCAACTCACAGGCAGCCATCGAAGCAGCGCGGGATCTATCGCGTCATTGTGATTTAAACGTGTTGCTCCCAGTGCATGTATGGGTGCTACTAATCCAGCATGACCAAGAGGGTCTACTTCGTGAACTCCCAAGCGACAAAGCAATCCAGTCAATGCTCACCCGAGAACTACGTGCTATTGAATTGAACTTGGGTGTGCGATGGACCGACGAAGAGCGGGGGAGCCATATCTACTCTCGCGAAACGCCTATTTGGTGCAATAATGGCAACCCTGAAGAAGCGTACCAAGCGCTTGGAATGGACCGCCTAGTTCCGCCCACACGCCATTTGCTAGACCTATTTGGAACCACCATTCCGTCGAAATCAATTTCAAATCTATCTGGCATTGCTGAGTTATTGAACGAATACGAGGGTGTCGAAATACCCTTGTGTTCAGCGCGGGATGACCACCTTGGGCCTCTAGAGCTCGCCTGGGTAATCCAGTGCTCACCCATTGAGATAACGAAGAATCGTGAAATCACAGCGGAATATGTGCATAATTCTTCTCAACTCTCTTCGCTTGGCCTATTGCGAGTTCGCCTAGACTGCAATGGCGTTCCTAGAAAGATTGGCCCCCACCTTCATTTGATGCAGCTTGGATATGTGGTGATGCGGAAAAAAGCGGCCTGCAGAAAATCCCGGGTTCCAACACCAGAAGAACCTGAAAGATGGGCGCCGACAGGCCACGTCGTTGGATGGGATCGGCAGAAGGGCAGACTTGTTCTTCTGTGGGTTGGCAAAGGCTATGGTGTGATGAATGCCGGACTCGTACGTCCCACCGCGCCATCGTATCTTCCGCACTCCTGCGCTGAGGTCGGAAATTCGATTGAAGAGAAGAACTCGCCTGAGACGGATGTACCGGGACTTGGTTTAGTTGAGATATTCAAAGATATCCCGGGATTCTGGGTCGACGTTGATCCGGGATTTGACTTGAAGAGCTAAACCTCGCTTGATATCACACCACCTCGTGTTTACCACGTGCCATGGAGCTTCTTCGGAGCGACGACGCGCTGGATTAATCCCCTCTCCAAAACTTCGCACATAAACCCGCGCCATCCTCCCGCACCGGGGTCTGATTCTAAAATTTAACCCCCAGCTCATCCTACACAACTTCCTTTGATTACATTCTGGATGTACTCCGTAGTTGGGCAAGGAACACGGCAAGGGTCGAGCTCCCCGGGCGTAAAATAACCCCTGGCTTTCATGTAGCTCCTAAGTTCGCAGCGCTGGTACTGGGTAACAGCAATGATAAACTACGGAGTACAGGGTAATATAAGCTATAGGATCATAGATTCAAACATCCAACATTGAAAAAATATGTTTACTTTTTGGGGGCCAGTGGCGTTTCCATACAGCGATGTTTTTCCTCAGTGCCTCCATAAATTCCACCGTCTGCTTCTCGCTGATGCCATAGAAGACTTGCTGCCGAAAACAAGATCATCGTCCGTACAGTCTTACCCTGGAATCGTCGAGAACCGTGCTTCGCACGAAGGCCAGGGTGACGGCTCGTATTAGTATGTGCCTTGCATCCCAACCTTACACATGTGCCGGGCCGTTGAAATCCGGCCTAGCATAGATTTTGCAAGGCAATTAGTGGTCGGGGGTGTGGCCTGACAGCGGGCCGCAAGCCTTCTTCTCTTGAGGCGACGAGGAGTTATCGCCATGGCCAGGCAAAGAATAAAGCGGACGTTTCAGGCCAAAAAAAAGAGTCCAGACAATGATCCCCGCGGGATTCTAGGCTCAGAGCGGGCCGTTTGTATTTACTTTTTCATAAAGTAGTTAGTCGCTATAGATGTGGCTTTGGGATTGAAGGAAAAATAGAGGATTTTAGGCAGTTGGTCTTCCCTGCTCAGGGTCGAGTTTGATAGCGTCGTTACCATCTGTGAAGCGGGAGAACGGACTCAGGGCAGCGGGATTCTGAGCTGGGCGTCCGGCGTCTGCGGCCCTGTCCATTTACCCGAACTCTAGTGGGTTATCTCATATGAGTCAAAAGCCAATCATGTTTCTTCTAATATGTGAGGGACGGGTTCTCCGGATGAGTATCAGATTGGGTTGGGATGTGGACTCCTCCCGTGGTCACTCCACACAATCTTTTTTTAACTTCTAGAACAAACCCCCAATATGCATCATCCATGCACTCACCAATGCCGCCCACAGCCAAGCATTTTGGTCATGGCACTCCTCCGCACTGGAAGATAGTACTAAGAAGGTGGAACCTACCAACAAGCGACGTGGTGCAGAGTTCGTGTACTCGCTACTTAGAGCCCAGTTAGAATATGTGGCTGCCACGATACAAATTACTTGGCAAAGATCCTCGCTGTTTGACATCGGTTCCCGGGGGTGGAAGAGATGGACTGGGTCTCAGCGCAGGAGAGCTTTCAATAACTACTCCGTATTCCATAGCTGAGAGATCGTTCGTCACCTATCGAGGAAGAAGGCTCGCCCGTTTCACCAACCCTCCACCCAAAACCCAATCAGCGGTCCAGGCTGTTCCCCGATTGCAGGGAAGGCTCCCAAGTCCGTGCCCCAAGGGTCCCAAAAATAAATTTGACACGGCGGGGGCCGAGCATGGAAATGTTTTGGCGCGGCACGATCATCCACATCTTGGACGTCCCTGGATCAAAGTAGTAAAAGGGGGGGGGGGGAACCGACGATCGGCCACGCGGCTGGGATTGGAGGAAAAAGCAAAGAGAACGCAGAAACAAGACCGCGGGCCCCAGCACTATGAAGATGACAGCTCATTTTACCCGATTGGCTATGAATTTCTCTGGTAATTTATCTGGTACCGAACAGGCCATAATTCGCCTGTGTTCCGCAGAGCACGGAATTATCATGCACTGGACAAATATGATCGAGTTAGGTTTTGCTTATCAATGGGGAGCTCTGAATTTCACTAGGCGTCGTTCCCGACCACACTTGAGTCTTTGGACGGCCTGTGCGGCCGTGCGTAGTCTTCGGGGAGGAGCCTTGGCTACACTATGATGTTCTAGCGATAACCACTGCCACGGGAGCACAGTGTGCACCGAGCACCGCATCATTTGTGCCTGTGGGCTTCGACCCGGGCCATGTTCATAAACTCTAGGACACATTTGGCTGAATGCCATTGGCTTGTTTGAATAGAGGCTAGTTGGATGTCGGTAGCATTGCTACGCGGGGGATATACAAGAGCAAGTACTCCGTAGCATATGTATGTATGTATGGAGTTTGGACGTTGGTGTCCTCGATATGGAGACGGTATACTCCGTAGACTCTGTCGGCTTCTAGATGTCGCCGAAACCAGTGGAGATTTGCCTTGCTGTTTCAGAATCGCACGGGTAAACGCTTTCCGTCTCAAGTTTTCCGAACGTGAGACAAAGCTTTTCAGTTTTCTTTTCACGCTTGCTATTGGGATAATGCCGGGAACAAACTTCGGAGAAAAACGAATCCTCGCGATCAACAGCCCAATTGCCATCTTCTGTGTCTATATGTAGACCTTGTATTCGTCCAAAAGTTCCTTGTCGATTATATAAAACAGACCGTTGCGGCACACTCTGCAAGAACGGCGCGACAATATAAACCCTTATAACTATTCCAATAGTATATAAACTCGTCAGCCTACCACGGCTCTAGCACTTGTATCGATGAATTTTTCGCAAAATAACGCTCTGTCGAAGTACCCTGGGGTCCTCATTCTCCCCAATCATCGTCATTCTAGTCAAAAGTCGCTACCTGATCTCCACACAGCGAATTATCCTGGCTTCATTCTTAAGCCGAGCTTATCCAGAGCCAACACTCTTATGCCTCGCATATCCGACGGGAAGGAGGATTTGTATACCGACGAGAAAAGAACCAGGATATCAAGACTCAAAATCCAGAAACGTAAGAATCGACACGCGCGGAAACATAAGGATAGGCTCCCATTCCATCCACCTAACAATAATATGATAGGTACCTTCACGAGAAAATGTCCGGGGTCCCAAGCAGACCGGCCAGTTATGCTGCCATGCCACCGGTGCCTTCAGGGTTCAGCCATCTTCTCAATCCGTCGCCAAATCCACCTTTTACTCTTTCTCGCCTGCGCCTATTTGTGCGGCAACAGCCCGCGGCAGCCCGAACTTGTGCCGCCGGTGACAAGAGTCGCCGTTCCGTTGACCCATCACCAATTCTTCAGCTTCTCATGACCGATTTTGACTCTCAATCCGAGGAAGACATCAAAATGTTGAAACACAGCCAGCACGTTGTTGCTTGCCATCTGTTTGCTGTCTGCGAAAATGTTTCGGGGGCTGTGGGGGGCCGTGTAGCCGACGAGGTTTCACACCAACCGACGCCCAATGGACAGAAGGAGGAAGAAGAAGAGGATTCAATCCGCAACGTGTACGGTAAAACATACGTCAGCCCGTTCTTCGTCGAAGCGGATCCCGAGCCCTCCAAGGCACCTTCGCACCCAGGATCGGTATGCAAAGGAACACCGTCGCCGATTCCCAGCACTTTTTTCGTCTTTGCCGATCTTCGCATACCAACAGCAGGGGTTTATCGGCTTCGTTTCCGGCTTATAAACGTTGGCGAGCCAACGGTGACCGGTAAAATACCAATCTTGCACGAGGTTTGGTCGGACTCCTTTCGAGCATTTGCGTCCAAGGACTTTCCAGGGATGAGGCCCACTCCGTACTTATCTGAAAAGTTGAAGGCACTGGGAGCAGATGGTGCCAAGTCCAGAAAGGCCAAGTAAGAGCGCAGGTTCACTCGTTGGCAACGTGCATAAGAGATTTTTCTGTGCATAAGATACATACAATCTTTCTGAAATTTTACAGCTCGACAGCCTTGCGCATGATGGAAGTGATGTCAGCGTCTGAAATTTCCCACGCTTCTTGTAGTTCGGTAGCAACGGCTGCGTATTTCGGATGCCTTCCGGCAAGTTCCCGATAGTGTAAAGCTTCTCCCGCTTTATTCTCGTCACGGAGTAGCACCGCCATCTGCAGCGAAGCTAACGGGTGTCCCTGGGCAGCGGCGAGCTCGAGCCATTCCTTGGCCATACTATAATATTCCGTTGGAGAATGGTAGCGTGAAGATACCGATAGCAGCCCCCGAAGCATTTTTTTCGATAAGAATTTGTCGTGGAACCCGGCATGCTCAACCTTCTCCAACCCAAGATGCCAGAGTCGATATATTTCTCCCAGCCGATAACAGGCTTCCACATCATGGCTCATGGCGCATTTCGTGAGGTATTCTTCGATGTGATCCCACCCACTTTCATTCTTAAAAAGCGCAGAGAGGAGCAGCGAATAGCCCCGGGGGCTATCATACTGAAGCGCACCCAAGTTCGCGGCTTCCTCGGCCTTATCGATTTCGTCAAGCTTGAGTTGGACGTTGGCAAATGCTTCCAAGGGCAGTGGAAACCGGCCTTGCGGGATAAAAAAGGAGAGATAGTTGATTTCGTTGTCCAGTGGCTTTGTTATTTCGATTGCCTTCTGGTACCAGTTTGCTGCGCTCGGCAGTTCGCCTTTTGCCTCCAAAATAGATCCGTGAAGGACCATAGGCTCCCAGGCCTTGCCCTCTCGAGCGAGTATTTCGATCTTCTGAAGCAGCCAAGGCTGTCCATTGATCGTGGAAGAGCTAAGCGCCTTATAGCCTAGAGAGACGATGGCAAGCATGTTACCGGCATGAGCCAGTTTTGGCATAATCCACTCAGTCACAACACTGTGTCTGGGTGAGCGTCCAAGGATCTGGGATACCAAACAAATCTTGTGCAAGTCTACCTTTTCAAAATTAGACCGAATATATAAAAAAAGCATTGAGATGAAAAATAAAAGTTTTATTTTTATTTTTTTATTTTATTATTTTTATTTTTTTTTTTGGTTCCCTTACCTGCGTGGATATCCCTTTCCAAATTCAACGAAGAGGTCTCCGTGCTTTTCTGAGCTGCGGCGATGCATTTTCGAGCAATATCGATGGCTTCCATCCACCCAAGCTTGTTGGGTCCTTGCTTGAACGGGCCCTTGTCAATGGCAGAGGTGAATAGCTCCAATGGCGGGCTGGGGACTGACCCAAAGTCCGGACTCAGCACTGGGCGTCGTAGTCGATTGCGCACTGACGGCGCTCTGGGAGTCCGAGCACTCGCGTATCGACGCTGAATCCTCGTAACATGGGACAATGCCGACGGGGCCCTGGCCCAATATGAGGCATGCATGGGTCAAGTTTTAGAATTTTAAGGATGTAAAATCACACTGTAAAGAACTCTAGTCAAGAGAAGGCAAAATGCATATCATGAATATTCTATCACAATGCGTGGTTTTATTTCAGGCGCAATCCGTAATCGCAAGGAAGACCTTCGCCGTTGTAAAGTGCAATCGATCAGGGCTCGATGTTGGATTTGCCGTGTGATTTTCCCAAGAGTCTCTGTGGTCGCTGGAGCTAAACCAAACCTGGCCGCACCATTCTAGTTTGGGAGTAGTTCCGCGGATTTACTGTTAATCCCCGTTCCGTATGTTTACCGGAATGGAATAGCGTCACGCCGGATGATCGACGGCGCAGGCGGCCGGCCCATCAGCTCGTCTTGAGTTCAGGTGCAGAAGATCCAAAAGGGCTCAGTTTACGGAGTACAAAGCCAACGTCACAGTGGATGACTGCTTATCCGCATGTGGCCGTGGGGATTCCTGAACTGAACTCGATATACATACTTATGAATGATTGACACGACCCCCCTTGGTTTTCGCCTTGATGATCGCCAAGACGCTACATCCCTGAACCACAACCAAGTACTGGACAGGAATACGCCGTGCGCATTCCTGCAGGAAGTTCAGAGTGGGGGAAATGCGTATTCCCATACGGATTACTCCGGAGCGGTTACTCCATATCTTACGTAGCAGCAGATTCCCAGAGAGACTCGACATGTGGGTTTGATCTCCAATGCTTCTGCAGATCTCCAGTAGTTGGAAGATCTTTGGCAGAAGGATCCTTGCAGCAACGGTTGCGTGAGATCCTAGGAAAAACATACCGTGTCTTCAAGGGCTATCCCTGGGTGTGAAGCATTCCCAGACGCCGCTTGCTCACTGGGGAATGTGGAAATGCTCGTGACTCTTGCCATTAGGTGAGGGGGAGCCAGGAGCACAGAGACGCGAAAAGGGCTTAGACGGAACCAAGCATGTGAACGGTGCACTCCCTTTTTTTTTTTTTTTTTTTTTTTTTTTTTTTTTTTTTGGTCGAACAAATCCAAAAGCGGAGTACGGACTATAGTGGTGAGACGATCCCTCCCAAAATTTGGCCCCAAAGAGCTGGGATCGATGATTCCTGGCGATTCCTTACAATGGATCCTCCCCAAATCCTCTCTCGTCGGTAAGAATACCCTGGGCTTTCGAAGGAAAAAAAAAATAAAAAGATAACGCACATATATATGAAAAGAGCTCAGCTGAGGGTCTTATTACGATGCCTCAATTTCGATGTCATCATGTCTCCAGTTCTCCTAGTGTCGTCACAGAAAACTCGTCTCTTCTCCAACGATTATGTAGAAGATTGTTTTGGAGTCGGTGTGAACAAAAGGCTCGGTGTGAGAGCAACCTCCGAGGTTTCTACAAGGCCCACGGAATCGCAGACGAGGGTGAGGCAGTGGATTGGTCATGTCCACCAGATGCTCTGACACACCGGCTGGTAAAGGATCGATGTCAAATGCGTTTCTTTCTTGCGCTGCGTAATCACTTGGATGTGGGTTGCTTAAGCGGCTACCTCGTGTGTGGGCGCGCGCCATGGACCAGGCAGGCCTCACATTTTGCTAGGCAGGGCGCACAACCCTACTGTTCTCTCCTGCTTTCCTGCCCAGTAGAATGGAGTAGTTAGTCGAAGGAATGGGCCCCCGCCTCATCGTCTCTTCAGCCTTACAAGGCCATCCGCGGCCCCCTCCACCCCCTCGGCGAGAGCAGTTTCAAGCCGCGAATTGGCTTGTTCTTTTCCGTGGGAACGATCCTTTGAGGGATGGCGCACAGACGGCAGCCGTAATTTTGTAAATTTTTCTGAAACCGCTGATGGTTCTGGGCATGAAAATGAGCGGGGGAGAAAAAAAAAAGCGTGTTTTGGTGGAGGGCGAGGTGCGATTAAGCATAAAACACAAGCATGGTCGTGGGGCTGAGGGTCGGACGTCATTGGACGGGTCAGGGCTTGCAGGGCCCAAAACGCCGGGTTTTCGGTCAGCTTGTGATACTGTTCAGGCAACTGATTTACTGAGGGATGCCGTAATTCGTGGATAGTTGTATAGAGTACTTGAAGCGCGTATCACCACAGGCAGTTTTTGAAGAGATCTATTTACCACCGAGATTTCAAATCTCACAAATCATCAATGGAAGGGCACGGAGTTCTTATCCCTGCCGATTTCTCCGTCGTCTCCAGCGAATTCGTGTAAGACATGTAGTACGATATTTAAACATCAATAGGGAACTAAGGCGGAATATGTAGATATTATTATTATTATTATTATTATTCATTATGGAATACGTAGATAGCTTGCGGGTGAAACGCGGAGACTCCTTGTTCAGCAAAGAAAGGGAAAAATTGGGAGCTCCCTGGGATCGTTGAATTCGTTTGTTGGACGACGCGATAAGAGGACGAAGCACTGAGTAACCTGGCCCAGCCTCTGCGCCCTTCTTGGTGTATTGTTAAAGTTTTTGTTTTTTTTAAAAAAAAATAAAAATTAAAAAAGAACCGCGTTGTGACAGAGAGGCGCAATGTTTGTTGGCTGTTATTGGACAGAAGCGTGTGCACCCTCCGTCCATTGGATTTGGTCCTTGGCGCAGGCACTGGGCGTTGGCCGGATTGGGTACTGTAACTCAAGACCCCCCCGCAGCCCGCAAAAGGATAAAGAAAATAGAAATACAGTAAAATTTTTTCTTCCCGGCAGAGGCTTTTTTTTTTTTCTAGAATTCTTTTAAACGAGGTGGCAAAATCTCGCGATCGGCCGTCGATTATTGGAATGATCGGGACCAGCCTCCCAGGTGGGCAAGCAGGGATCGCCCTGGAGGGGGTTGAGATTTGGCGGTCGCTTAAAACACAAAATATACCGGGCGTGAGCCAGGGAACTTAAGCATAAACGAAGGAAGAGGATTTGCAGAATATCTTCCCAAGGAGCCGAGCCCTAGCTTCTTTAAGAGGCGTCGGACCTTGGATACGCTTCAGCACGACGAAATCAATTGGGGGGTCTCTTTTTTTGAAAGCCCCGCCATTCTGCCCGGGAAAACCATGTCTTTGCATACAATGAGAGTGGGATGTCCAGAGTACTCTGTGCTGCGTACTAGCAAAACAAAAAAAAAAAAAAAAAGAAGAAAAGAAAAGTGTATGTATTCTGCAATGCTGTAGAACTAGGGACTCATCCGTCTCACACGAGTCACGCGCAAGGCTATTGTAGATGAACACAGGTGTCGCTACGTGACACGAATCGGGTTGCTTCCAGGGCCATGGCAGTCTCTCCTGAAGGCTTTGAGTTTCTCTGTAAAGCCACAAAGACAACAGGCTGAGAAGACCAGCAGGCGCTGAGTAAAGGAATCCATATTCCCTTGGGATGAACCTGGAGAGGCAACGACAGCACTGTGATTCCCTGAACGCGTTGTTTGACAGGCTACATCCTGAGGTGCCGGGGGAAGGGAGATGCAGCGATTCCGCGAAGGCACAACAGCGGCCCTGGTGTTTTGTGTGGGGGGGGGGGAACACAGAGCTGACAAACATGGCAGAGATGGCAGAGCTAGCAGAGATGGTAGAGGGCCTACTATGGGCGGTTACACAATGGAATGGACGCTGCATACAGATAGAAGACCAGAGGCCTCAGCGACGTTTGAGCCCTTCTCTCTGCTGGGCAAGAATTTGCTTCTTTCCTGCCTGCTGCTCTTTTAGTTCCTTTTTTTTTTCTTTTCTGTTTTTCTTTTTTTTTTTTGGTTTTTTCCCCGCTTTGGCGAACAGCTCTGAGTCTCGAGAAAAGCCACGAGAAATGGGTGGATGGCGAAGCAGCCGCCATGTGCTTGGCCGCCACATGGATGGGGTTGGGATCCAAAAGCGGACTAGACCGGCGGCTAGTCCGGGAATCAGGGTTTCCTGCCATCCTGGGAAGGCGTGAGAGAAATAAAAAAGAAGAAAAAAGAAAATATAAAATATGTAAAAAACATTCGCTTATCGCAGGAGCCCCACACTCCGCCGACCAATCAGTGCGGTGAAAGGGGAGCGGCGAGCGTGATTGGCCGGCTTGCTGCTGCGGGACTCTCCGCCGGTCGCCCCACCTTCCCGGTTGAGCGTCTGACAGAGCGGCGAGGGCTGCGGCTGATTGGCTGGTTGGCTGCACCTCGGCATGCGTCATTTGGGGCCGCGGGCGTTGGGGGGAAGGAACGATTGTCCACCATCTCTCCCCCCCTCTCTCACTCTGTGTGTGTTTGCTGTTTCCTTATAGCTTCTTCTTCTTCTTCTTCTTCTGCAGGGCGGAAAAGTCGCTCAACACGGCGCGGTTTCGAACGATCCCCCGGGGGGAGGGAAGAAAGTAAAAACTGGGCCCTCGTAAGAGGCGGATCCCTGGGCGCAGAGCCGAGTGTTAATTGCGATTGACAGGGATGCTGCCGGGCCCCACAGCGCCGCCGTCCAGGGTTCTGCTGCAGGCTCGCAGAAGAAGAAACAGAGGAGAAGAAGAAGAAGAAGAAGAAGCAGAAGATTGAGTATGAGTAGCCCTTCCCAACCTTGCCCCAGCTTCCCTGACCCCTGGGTCGACCAGACAAAAACAACCCTAACCAAAACCCCTTGAACCTAACTAACTAACTGCCCCCCCCAAAAAACGACCAGCGCGATGCCAAAATGGGGGCGCGCACCTCTCCTTAGCGTGCGGACTGGGCCCTGTGCCCGCCCTTGCGTGATTGCTATTGATGATCGCACTCTTGTCTGGCCCAGTCGTTTGAGTAGTAGTGCGCTGGAGCGTCATCAAACCCGCTGCACAAAGGAGAGTTTGCCCCGTTGGCGTTGATGCTTCTGCTGCTGCTGCATCGTTGCTGTTTGCTTCTCGAAAATTGCCAAAGTCGGCTCTATCATCGTCATCATCATCAAAACCAGCCTGCGTGACTGGCACAACCCCCTCCTCTCGCCCCCTTTTTTTTTCCCTTTTCCGCCACCGCATCAGCAGCCCTTTGTTCGTCCATGCGAAACCCACCCAGTCGACAAAAAGGCTGATATCGAACGGCTGACAGGCTAACCTTAGTTCCGTCTTCGAAGATCTCCAGAGACGGCGGCCCCCGTTTTCTCGTGGTCCAATTTTCTCTCGTTCATCTCGCTTTGTCGCTCGTTGTTGGGTGGTTGCTGGCGGGAGGAGCTCTCAGGATCCCGCTCGTCTTGCCTCCTCTCTCACCCTCTTCCTCTCTCTCTCTTTTTCTTTTTCTCACGCCTTACCGTCCGGAACCCCCCATCCGGTTTCAATCGCTTAAATCGCCGCCGTCGCTTGTTTCATCGTTGACCCACGGCGGTTCGTGCGCGGACGAGAACACAGGATCTTCCGCCTCCCTGACCAGCTCTCGCTAGCATCCCTATCTCGCCCACCCTCCCGGCTCGTCACCTCTCTCTATCTCCCTCTCTCTCTCCCTCTCTCTCTCTCTCTGTGTGTGTGTGTGTGTGTGTGTCCCCCTCTCAAGCAGAAAGAAGAAAGACTTATTCACCTGGATCGGCCGCGTGGGCTGGTCGCAGACGTTTCGTCGTGCCTCTTTGACTTCTCTCTTTTTGTTTCTCTCTCTCTCTCTCTTTGACTTCTCTTTTTTTTGTTTTTCTCTCTCTCTCTCTTTTCTCCCCCCCCCCCCCCCCCCCTTCTTTCTTGCGCGCGCAGACCACCGACCATGATGGACGTGGACCGATCCAGATCTCGTCGGGAGCGCACGTTTGTAGGCAGCGAGTGCGCCGTCTGCGAAGAACCGTTAGAACACACCCTTCGAGGCGAACGCATCCTGCAGTTCTCCTGCGCGCACGTCTCTCACGAAGCATGTTTCTACGAATACATCAAGGAATGCGATAGTCAGTACTGCCCAACCTGCAGTGCGCCCCTGGGCCTCGATAGCAGCAGAGGAGGAAACCTCTTGGACCTTGGTAAGGCCAATTCGCTCTCTTAAACCTTAACCCCCCCTCCTCCTCCCTCTCTCTCTCTCTTATCCGCTCTGGAAGCGTCAAGCTAACCCGGCTTCTAGAAAAATTAAGCAACCTCGTCCGATCCGTCTCTGTCACTGATACTCCTGTCCACCGCAACCATCAGACCCTTACCCCGTCCTGGGATGTTGGCTCCCGTCCAAGTCAGCCATCCTCAAACGATTTCTCGGCCAGATCGCTGAATCGCGACAGTCAACACTCGCGGCGTCGAGACAGCAGGGATGCAAGCAGCCATCGCGAGAGGATCGAGCGACTGGCTACTCCTTCGAGGAAACAACATCAACATGTGCGTAATGACAGCGAAGTGACAGGAACTGCCACCTCGGGCGATTATTCCGACACACACCAATCGAGCATCGGACGAAGGCACGATTACGATGTCCAGGCGATGGAATCGGCGCTCAGTCCGCGACCGGGGATGATGAAGAACCCTATCCCTGCGCCGATAGTCACGGTGCGAAGCGAGTTTCCCACCCTCAATCGCTCGCGACAACAGCAGTCCCTCACTTGTCTCGTCACAATTGAAGTTCCCGATGGAAAATGGCATCCGGATCTGGAAACTCTGCGCCACGCGCCTCATATCCCTGCCTTGCCTCGTGAGGAACTCCAGAGTCCCCTGAAGCCGATGCACCCCTCCAATCAAGGCTCTAGTCGAGGACAGTACGAAGCCCAGGAGGATTTCGATGAAATTGCGGAAGGTCTGCGCTCGCGCGTCGACAATTGGCATGGCCTTGAATTCGACCGGTATGGTCAAGAAATGCGTATTCCCCCTTATAACTATGGCTGCTGATGAATAATCTAGGTTTGGCAAGCTCAGGCTGCACGGCAGACTTAAAGTTGGAAAAGATAGAAGATCGTGGCAGGAGCTTGAATGCTATCTTTTCTCAGAGATGCTCATCTGTATCAAAGAAAAGAAGCCCCCTGCTACGAGTCCCTTTGATGATCCATCCACGAAGCGTAAAAACAGTCGGTGTACATTGAAAGGCTCAATCCTTATCAAGAAGCACCTTAAGGAGGTGGAGACTGTTGCAGGTACTACATATCCCATCTAATCCTTTTTTTTTTTTTTTTTTTTTTTTTTTTGAAAGGAAACAAGAGAAAATATCCTTTGGTAGCGCTGACATTATTCTAGACGAAACAATCTTGACACTAAATCTGTCCGTCAACGAGCTACCTTGCTTCCATCTACAGTTCCAATGTCGCACCCAGCTCGACGTATGGAAACGCGCCTTGTTGGATCTGCACAACGTCGATGCCCCCATTCGAAATCCGGATTACGATGTGGAAAACTCGGGCACAGAGGAGGAAGACTACAGAACCTTCAAAACTAAAACAAGGGTCTCTTCCACCAACTCTTCCTACGGTGCCGGAAAATCGGCCGCCACCGCATTGACCGATTATACAAATTCTATCCGGGACGGACGCCTCAACAGCTTCCACGTCCCGCTAGATATCGTCGTCGTCATCCCTGTCTCCTCATCCATGCAGGGCCTGAAGATCACGCTTTTGCGTGACACCCTGCGTTTCCTGGTGCAGTCTCTCGGCCCGCGCGATCGCATGGGCCTGGTAACGTTCGGCTCGAGTGGAGGCGGAGTACCGCTCGTCGGCATGACGACGAATGCTTGGGGTGGATGGAATGGCGTTCTCAATTCAATCCGCCCCGTTGGCCAGAAGAGTCTCCGAGCGGACCTGGTCGAAGGTGCAAATGTGGCCATGGACCTGCTGATGCAGCGCAAGTCCAGTAACCCGCTTTCGTCAATTTTGCTGATCAGCGATTCGTCTACGTCGGATCCTGAAAGTGTAGATTTTGTTATTTCCCGCGCGGAGGCTGCGAAGTAAGTCTTTATAGTGGAAAGCTGTAGTTACTCTAATGTTCGGATGACTGACATATTCTGGATAGGGTTGGGATTTACACGTTTGGGCTGGGGATGACGCACAAGCCCGATACCATGGTCGAGTTATCTTCCCGTACAAAGGCGTCATATATGTATGTGAAAGATTGGATGATGCTGCGGGAATGCGTCGCAGGATGTTTGGGCTCCCTACAGACGACCTCCCACCAAAACGTCAAGTTAAAGTTACGTCTACCGGAGGGATCTCCGGCGAGGTTTGTCAAGATAAGCGGGGCCCTCCACACTACGAAACGTGCAACGGGCAGGGATGCTGAAGCTGCTCTGGGTGACTTGAGATTCGGAGACAAGAGAGGTACGTACAATGGTGATATCAGATGACTGGCTGAGTGGGGGGGAAGTTCTAACATATTTTTGTGTGTCTGTAGACATCCTGGTCCAGCTTGCAATTTCGCCTGACAATTCTTCTCCTGAACACGTTCCCCAGGATCCTTGGGAAAGCATTGTATCTGGCCTCGAAGCGCTTGGAGGTCCCTTGGATGGAGAGGATCAGCGTGTAACGAGTATCGAGGAGGTCCCGCTGATCCAGGCTGATGTCACATACGGCGATATCCTGCGCGATGGGCACCTCGCGCATTCTCCTCGACCATCCTTGCTCGCCATAACTATGCTACCTGCTTCTCATAAACCGAAAAGTATTGGGAGGCCTATTACACCCCCTATTCCCCCTCATCCGTCCATCGTGCAGCGGCGTATGGAGCTGCTTACGTCTGATATGTTGACACGGGCCTTGACGCTGGTTTCACGCGGACAGCAAGATCGCGCGCATCACCTCCTCACTGAAACGAGGAGCATCCTCAAGGGACTTGGCAAGGGCAGCCTCCCGCCCCTGCCTACAAGTGCTACGATGAAGCCCACCTTTGATTCAAACAGTGAGCGGTTCTCTCCCGTTCCATCGTCGCCACGCTCTTCGGAGATCCTCGACGGCCGCCAGTCCTCGCATAGCTCGGAAGCAGCCACGATAACGCCTGTCGCCGCCGCCGTTGATTCCAGCACCATCTCCGCCCTGGATGCGGATCTGGAAGCGGCCCTGGAGTGGATCACGCATCCGGCCGTGTTTGGACGGGATTCGAGAAAGGCGGTGTTGCAGGCTATTGGGGTTATCTCGTCGCAGAGGGCGTATACTTTCCGAACGCCGTCCGAGGCCCAGTGGGCTGAGAGGATATCCGGTGTCAATCGGCTGACGGAGCGATCGCGGGAGTGGCGCGAGGCGGGAGATGATTGTCTAACTGAGGAGTGAGAGACTTGATGTCCTCTGAACTTCCCATTTTTTGGTAATATTTTTTCTTTTGATCTCGTTTCTTTTGCACTATTGGTCCCTCTCTCTTCCCCCCCCCCCCTTCTCTTTTTTTTTTTTTTTTTCCTTCTAAACTTACAGACGTTCTGCATTGTGTAGTCCTTTGTGTCATTGGAGACTGTTATCACCCCCCCGGTTGGTTTGGACTGGCTTAATGAATTGATGTTATTGTATGTCCTGTTCCTACGCATTTCATGTTCCGGTTTACTTTGGATGGTTCTGTTTTATTTTTTATTTTATGCTTTTCTGTCATACATCACTTGTTCCCTTAGATCCTGCCCAAGATACCATGTACCATTGTTTGTTGTTGACTGCTTTTTGTTTTTGAGCTATGGCACGGTCCCCAGACGCCACTTACCCGCAAGACGGCTACCCCTTCTAATCTCTGGTTAATATTTCGATGTTGCGCTATTATATAGCTTTCTTCATACTTTGATTTGCTTTGTTAGAAAATGAGATCGGCACCGAAAAAGGGAAAAGAAATTGGATGCTGTTTGACTTCTTATGAATGCTCTATGTTGCTTCCGAAGAAGATCTGCTCTAGCAATTGAGTATCACATATTATGTTTTGGTTACTGGGAATGAAGGAGCCGTATTTTCAGAGAGCTGCTTTTTTGATCTCGTTGATTCATTGTACAGCGGAATGAAACATCATATAAAAAAAAGCAAAACTCCAAAAGGGGGGCCACTAGTATACACATATGGAGACATGACGAAACCCGGGGGGCGAAGCTCTAAAATAAATAAATGAAAAAGGAAAAGTTTCCATCCCAGGCCGTACATTGAACAAGCGGTTTATAAAAAAAAAAAAAAAAAGCAAATCTCACACCCGCTCCACTCCACTCCACACATACACACTCTTTCTATCACGATCCCACAGAGGGGGGGGAAAAAGAATAAAGGAGCAATCCCCTCTCTTACTTATTCCATAACAGCCTTCGCGCCCAACGCCTTCAACGTCTCAACGATCTTCTCCGCCTCCTCCTTCGGCACACTCTCCTTCATCACCTTGGGCACGCTCTCCACAAACTTCTTGCTGTCCACCAAGCTCAATCCCAGCAGCGACTTGACCTCCTTGATCACCTTGGCCTTGGCGGATGCGTCGAACGACTCGAGCTTGAGGTTGAAGAGGGTCTTTTCTTGCGCGGCGGGCGCGGGCTCGTCTTCCTCGGCGGCAGGGGCGGCGGCGCCTGGAGCAGCGCCGCCTGCGGCCATGGCGAAGCCGCCGACGGGGAGGTCGGGAATGTTAAGACGCGTCTGGAGGGGGGAAGAAAAAAAAGTTGAGGATGGTTAGTGAGTGGGTATTTTAAGTGGGAGAGGGTATTTTAAGTGGGACATAACTACACACACACACACACACACACACACACATATATATACATATATAAGAGAAATATAGGAATGAAAAGGGGAAGAAGGGACAAAACTCCCCGTGTGTGAAACGTTTCATTTTATTTATCTTTCTCCTTGCTTACCTTCAAGCTCGAGACCAGGTCGGCCGTCTCCAACAGCGTCAGCTGGCTTATCTGATCCACTATCTGGGCGATCTTGGGGTTCTCTGGCGCCGCTGCGGCTTCTGTGGACTGCCACCGGGCGCGACCAGCGTGCTGGGAGGTAATATATGCTGGGGCCACTGCTCGCATGGCGAGGGACGATTGCCGGAGTGCATTTCTGCAGCAGCGCGCGGAGATCTGGACTGGGAGGGCCATGGTTCTGGGGACTCGTGATATTTCCCTTTTTTTGATCCGGCTATTCCCTTTTGTGTGCCTCCGTTTGAATGCCTGTCTTTCTCTGTCGACCCTGCGAATTGCGGACTTCAATGGGTGGGATTGGGAGCTTTCGTTCCTTCAGACCGCTTTTGGAGGTTTCGACTGCTCGAACTTTTGAGAAAAGTCGACGCTTTTTGGCCGGCCAATCGGGTTAATCACGTGAATGCTACTTGCTTAGTCATGTATTAAAGTTTCGATGTGCTGAAACTGCCGTGTTTCACCGCCCGTTACCTTTTTTGGCCCGCCGAATGTTCCTGGCGTTGATGACGGGGGATGGGAAACAAAAAGTGGCTTGATGCCATTACACAGGCTGAGCATATGAGATTTTGATTATGTAGTTGATATCTGCAATAGTCGCAATGTGCCTACAGGGGCCAGTTCTATTCCATATTTTGATTCCCCTCACCCACATCCCTTATAAATCCGCCATTCATTATCTTAGTCCTCGTCCCAGTGAGGATTCTGACCCGGCGGCTTGGGCCCACCGGCTTGCCTTGCGACAATGATCTGGTCGACGCTCAGCACGGTTCTTGCAGCCTCGGTTGCGAGCTTGATCGCCCACTGCTTTGAAACAAGGAGGTCGAGAATGTCTTCCTCCTGCGCGTCAATGGTGCCACTGGGGGTGGATGCATGGATATCAACTCCAGTGGTCCAGTATGGCTCCTCTTCTTCCGATGAACCTTCCTCTTCATCTTCGGACCCGGATTGGGCTTGCTGCTGGTGAGCGGTGTATAATCTGGACAAGACTTCGGTAGCATTGAGACCCGCAGATTCGGCTAGGGTGCGCGGGATGACCTCAAATGCTTCGGCGTATTTCCGGATCGCGTACTGAGCCAGCCCCGGGGTCCTATCGGCGTATTTGGAAATCCTCTCCGTGAGCTGGATCTCTGTGGCACCGGCGCCAGGGACGAGTCGGGGATCCTTAGTGATGGCCTTCACGACATTCACACCGTCATCGATCGCACGCTCCACATCATCCAAGAAGTTTTGGGTTGCGCCGCGAAGGACAATGGTGGATGTTCGGGTGACGCTGCTGGCCTCCTCCTGGCGGAAAACCGTTACTCGATCTCCGCCGATCTCCATCGTCTCCACAACGTCGACGCTTCCCATCTCATCTGGCATCGGAGCTCCAAGGCGGGCTAGCGGAGTTGCTCCAACGACACGGCATAGTCTGCGGAGTTCGAACTTGGAGAGCACCTTGATGACAAGGATGTTGAAGCGGTTCAGATAATGTAGAGCCAACTCGCCAACGGTTGCACCGGCAACGACCACCCGGATGCCGGAATCGTAGAGTTCTTTGATCGCGGCCTCTAAGCGGTCTTCTTCACCCTTTGTGAAGCTAAGCATTTCTTGTGCATTCTTCAGGAGAACAGTCCCCTTGGTTTCCGTTTGGGAGATGTCAACCGGGCAGCTGAAGACGCCAACCTTGGCCTTCTTGGCCTTCTTGATTGATCCTTCGGGTTCCCGACCGAAAACCATACCCTTTACCACTTTCGACTGCTCTAAACTTCCACCCATGATTTTAACCACGCGAACATTATCGATATTAAATTGGGCGGGATTTTTTGGCATGACGGCCAAGATGGCCTCGGCGACAAGTGGAGCCAAGATGTCTTCGGAGCCGCACTGCTTGCTGCCAATCACTGTCTTCAATGCCTTCCCCAACTCGGCTGTGGACCGTAATTGCTGCAATCTGTCCACCTCAAGATCTAAATCACCAGCAAAGAGTCAGACATGCTTGGGTCTCCTACCGGGAAAAGTAGAGTATTTGGGCAATCTCAGGCAAGTACTTCACTTACCGTCTAAGCAACTCAAAGCAAAAATCTGCGCCTTTTCATAACCCTGTGCGATATCACTGGCCTTCAATCCCATCCGCAAGAGATCTTCTGCCTTCCGTAACAGTTCGCCGGCCAGTATGATGACCATATTTGTGCCATCGCCCATCTCGGCCTCTTGCTGCTGGCTGGCCATAACCATCAGTTTTGCTGCGGGGTGTACCACATCGAGCTCGCGTAGAATCGTCGCGGCATCTGAGGTAAGAATCATCTTCTGAAGGTGGTTGATGACGATCTTGTTGCGGCCGAAGGGACCAAGGGAGGTCTGAACGGTCTGTGCAATGGTGTGGCAGGCATCGATATTACGCAGAACAGCACCGTCTTCGGCATCGTAGCTATTGGGGTTGAACAAAAAAAAACAGGGATGAGCATGAGCTGTTTTTTGGCGGGGTGCCCTCTGGAAGCTTTCCTCACCTGTTGTAGCCCTGTTTGAAAAGGCCGGCGTTCGGCGCGTTGGGAATTGCCAAAGACATTGTTGCTTGTTACTGGGCAAAAAGTATATCCTAACTCCAAAAAAGGGATCATGCAACGAGAAGAAGTTGGATAACCCCAGCTGTCGATGAATGGGCCCTTGGGAGGCGAGCTCGGGCTTCGCTGGAGTGTGTCGATGTAGCGAAAATGCGTGTTTGCACCGTTTGCTAGTTATGGAGTGAGCGCATTTGACTAAGCAGCCGCCGCCCAACAAGGTTGTCGATGGAACTCAAGCTTCGATCTCCCCCAACGCTTCTCTGGTGAACAAAATACCTCTCCGCTCCAGGCTCTCTCCTCCTCTTCTGCGTGCTTTTGGTTGGTCTGGAGTTGCTGAATTCTTCCACAAAATGTTCTCGAGGCTTGTTCGCGCTCGCTCAGCCGCCCAGCTGGGTCGATTCCCGTCTTCCCTCGCTCGCCGATCGGTGACCACCAATGCTGCTTCGGCGCATGCTGATAATGTCCCAGCTGTACGATTTCGTCCAATTCAACAACGTTTCCAGGAAGTTTTCCCAAACAGAATTGCAGGCTAATAGCATCATAGGAAGATGATAAACCATTCACAATCAAGCTCTCCGATGAGAGCTTTGAAACATACGAGCTCGATCCTCCCCCATACACGCTAGAAGTAACAAAGAAAGAGCTCAAGCAGATGTACCGTGATATGGTGGCCATAAGGTACGTTTCCGAATACCGAACTCTCGTGACTGAGCAGTCCTTCTGGCGACTAACGGTACGAATTCAGACGCATGGAGATGGCCTCTGATCGTCTATACAAAGAAAAGAAGATTCGCGGTTTCTGCCACCTATCCACCGGCCAGGAAGCCGTCGCCGTCGGCATCGAGCACGCACTCGATAGAGAAGACAAATTGATCACTGCCTACCGATGCCACGGCTTCGCGTACATGCGCGGTGGAACGATCAAGTCGATAGTCGGTGAACTGCTTGGTCGCCGTGAGGGTATTGCCTATGGCAAGGGCGGATCTATGCATATGTTTGCGCCAGGTTTCTACGGAGGTAACGGTATCGTCGGTGCTCAGGTTCCAGTGGGTGCCGGTTTGGCGTTCGCTCAGAAATACGAGGGCAAGCAGAACACTACAATCTGCTTGTATGGCGATGGAGCATCCAACCAAGGACAAGTCTTTGAAGCGTTCAACATGGCGAAGCTATGGAACCTCCCTGTCATTTTCGGCTGTGAGAGTAAGTGTTTTTGGACTATTCGATTTTCTCACTCCGAGAAGGATGAAAGAAAAACAAAATGGCTAATGGCTACGTAGACAACAAATACGGAATGGGTACCGCGGCTAACCGTGCTGCTGCCATGACCGATTATTACAAACGTGGCCAATACATCCCAGGTTTGAAGATCAACGGAATGGACGTCCTTGCCATCAAGGCCGCCGTCAAGTACGGCCGCGAATACACTCTCGCTGGACACGGACCCCTCGTCTTCGAATACGTCACATACAGATACGGTGGTCATTCCATGTCCGATCCCGGCACCACGTACCGAACCCGTGAAGAGATCCAGCGCATGCGTAGCACCAACGATCCAATCGCAGGACTTAAGCACAAGCTGCTGGACTGGAATGTTACGACCGAAGAGGAGCTGAAGACAATCGACAAGGAGACCCGCAGCTTTGTTGACTCTGAGGTCGCGGAGGCTGAGAAGATGCCTGTTCCAGACGCCAATTCTCGCATTCTGTTTGAGGACATCTACGTCCGCGGCAGCGAGCCTCTCTGGATGCGTGGACGTACGGTCGAAGAGACTTTCTACTATTAGAACACTTTCTCGCTTTTTCCCTCCCTTCCCACCCTCTTCTCTTGCTGAAAACGTTGTTTTATATTTGGGCCCAAACCCTGTATGACCTACTGCCGGATACTTTCATTTCCCTTCCCTTTGGTTTTATTTTCTCTTTTTTTTTTGCTTGTAATTTAAGAGCTACATAAAATACCACGACGCGATTGGCCTTTTTCTTATGTCTTTCTAAAATCTTTGGCGACGTCGCCGAAACGCTCTTGCATGCATGCACTTGAAAGTTGATGGGAAAGCCAGGTATCTATACAACTATCGTACAAATACAGAAGTTCGTCTAACAAATGCCCTTTATAAAAGTACATCCAGCAGCTCAGAAACACGGGCGTACATGAAGGCGGGTAGATTTAATCCCGCGGGAAAAATCAAAACTTTGCTCTTCACTGCTGTCGCATACATACTCGGAAAGTGAAAATCCCAAAACTCCCCCAAAACACTGATTATATAAAAGAACATAACTCCTCATATGTATGTACTTGGCTGTTTTTCGTTCTTCATCTTCTTCTCAAGTACCATGCGAACGCTGCACCTCCAATCGTCTCGTTGAATGGAGTGGGAACTTCGGCCATTCCCGGTCTGGCCACGGGATGTCGGACGTAAACAGCGGCACAGATCTTGTGATTCACCTCCAGGTATCGCGGGATAAAGGCGAAGGCGCTCATGTAGTCGCGTGGGCGCCAGGGAGTGGCGTATGGTTTTGTGCTGTCGATGGGGTTTTCGTGGATTTGGATGAGGGCTTCTTTGAGGACGTCTAGATCGGTGTTGGAGAGGGACGTGAAGGTGGAGGCGTCTAGTAGTTGAGAAGGGTTGAGAGATGCTTCTTTGAGGGCCTTGGTTAGGTTTTCCATGGATGCAGAGTCGGTAGATTTCGTGTTAGCAGGGGAAGAGGCATCTTCGGAAGGTTGAGGTCGTGCAGTTTCGGAGCTCTCGGTTGTTTCGGAGGCAGAAGCCAGTTCAACGTCCTTGGTTAGGATGGCCTTGAGTTCGTGGAACTGTGCTTCGAGGTTATCAGTTAAGACGGTACTGGAACTCGAGCGGGAAAGCACTCGGCGGACTGCGCGCTGGAAGCCGCGTATCTCTTGTCTACGTTTGGCGGGAATGTTGTCTTTGCTGTTCGACATGATCGCCTTGGCCTGCGATAAAAGTTGTTTGAGCGTCTTGCGAGGATCTTCCGGTTCTTCCTTGGATTCACTGGTCTCTTCCTTTTGTTTCGTTTCCTTCTTGTCTTCTGCCTTCTCGGTGTCCTGTTCTTGTGCGGTGCGGCCTAGACGTCGTCGGATACGGCCAGCGCGTCTCTCTTTGGCATCTTTTGGGGCACCTGTGGCAAACATAACACGCTCCGGGTCAACTTGGAAAAGGTCGCCCGGGTTGAGTAAATATCCTGGATATTGCATCTGTTCTGAGCGTTAGCCAATCCCAAGTGATGCCGGGTTCAATCCACATCCAGCGATGCAGACGCACCTTTTTTCCATTCACTGTAACTGCCCCGTGGACAACAAATTGTCTTGCCTGTCTCGTGCTGCTGGCGAACATGGCACGGAAGATAGCCACGTCCAATCTTCGTTCAAGCGGTGCAAAAGTCATCTGCATGTACGGCGTCGGCGGAAGGGACCTCCGAAACACTTTTCCCTCCTCGCCGCCTTTAGATGGCGGTTGTTCTAGCCCGGAACCTCGCCCGGCAGACTCGAGCGAACCGTCGTTTCTCGCTAGGTATCTCGCATCCATTGGAACTACGGATCTCGGACGGCGTGCAAACATCCGCTCCCACTGGCCCTCGCGTACTTGTTCTCCGTGATAGGCACGGGCAAGGGATTTTGCGGCCCATTTTTGCTGAAAGAATGTTTTAGTGGTCGTGTAGGGGGGAGTCAGGCGCTGGAGGTTGTAGAGGTTGTATTTGCTCCATGATTGCCGAACTTTCTATGAAGATTGTCAGTTGTGCTCAATCTGCAAGAAGAAACCCCAGGAAATCACAAAGTGAGGCGCAATCTCAGGGACTGACCGGCGATTTAAGACGAAGAGAGCACCTGTTCCGCATCGTGTCCAGTCGCAATGGCAGGGAAAACTGCTTCGTTGAGATGCTCGGCCTTCCGCCCTCTCACTCGCTGGCGGGAAATTTCGACATTCAAAAGACAAGAATGTCACGTGATCATCGCAGCTGGAAAAACCTTATTATATAATAAACTTAATTATTATATCACGTGATACCGTCTGTCGGGTTCGGGTTATAGTTTATCCGGCTTTCACGTCCGTTCCCAGCCTCTTTCGAGCCACTTCGCTTGAACAGCCACGAAAGAGCCCGAAAAAGGAAATAATTATAGATGACGGAGGAATTCCCTGAGAGATTGCTCCAGGGCTTCTTCCTTAGAATTCAGCTTTGACGCGCTCTTAATAGCAGTGCCGGCGAATGTGGATGGGCTGCAGAATGGATGAGATTCCTTTGAGAGTTCCTTGGCATCCGAAGCCCGACGGCGGAAAGCTCAAACGAGCTGCAGAAGAACATAGCACCCAGTGCTATCTACCATCTGGTTCCAAAACGCGGGATAGACACCAAACTTTGGCGCCGTTCAACTCCCAAGCAGCTTTCTCCCGTGCGTCAAAGTAGCCATGCGATGAGCTGAAGACTGAGCTTCGGTCGAGAACTAAGACCGTGGGCGGAGGCGTTCCCAACCCCAAGCCGGGATGAGGATAGCGCCCCGGACCACCACTGAGCAATGAAATCCCTGGATCGCTGCACAAGCAACCACACCCGGGAGAGCGCGCAACAGGGTCGCGGTGCCGTGCTTTTTGCGTACCCACAATGGCATCTCGCGACCTTGGGATGAGGGCCCAAGGTTCTCCCGGCATGTTCACACGTGCTGGAAGCGATACCGGTTGACGACGCATAAAAGCTGAGCGGATGCACCCCCCCAAGATGACTGGGCCAACATCGTTCTCTCAACCTGTCTCCTTGCCCTTGGCCCCCTTTGTGAGTCAGGGCTCGATAAAACCATGCGGCTTACTACCATCGCTTTGGTGACTGGAGCCCTGGGCTCTGCCTACGCTGCTCCCTCTCAGCCGGCCTCTGGTAAACCCCATGGCTCAGTCAGGAATATCCAAGTTGGTGTCCGCCCGGATTATCTCGTTAGCCTGATGGACGATAGTCCGCTTAAGCAGAAGCTTCAATCCTGCTCTGAGAAACGGCTACACAGAACAGACTTCTCGATAAGCCACCGCGGGGCGCCATTGCAGTTCCCAGAGCATACCAAGGAGGGTCTGTACGCCGCTGCCCGCATGGGCGCAGGGATTCTCGAGTGCGATGTCGCCTTTACCAAGGACCGTCAACTCGTCTGCCGACACTCCCAATGCGACCTCCACACGACCACCAACGTCCTCACCATTCCTGAACTCGCCAAAAAGTGCACAAAACCGTTCACGCCTGCGAAGGATGGAAAGCCTGCCAGCGCTAAATGCTGTACGAGCGACTTCACCCTCGCCGAATTCAAAACCCTCTGCGGCAAGATGGACTCCTCCGACAAGACTGCTCAGACACCAGAAGAATTCCTCGGCGGCACCCCCGAATGGAGGACGACCCTATACGCTCAATCCTGTGGCACTCTCCTCAGCCACAAGGAATACATTCAAATTACCAATTCCCTAGGCCTCAAGTTCACCCCAGAACTTAAGACTCCACAGGTTCCAATGCCCTTTGAAGGGGACTATACGCAGGAACAATACGCGCAGCAATTGATCGATGAATACAAAGCCGCCCGCATTCACCCTAGCCGTGTCTTCGCGCAGTCATTCCTGCCGGACGACATCTTCTACTGGCTCCGTCATGAGCCCGCGTTTGGCAAGCAAGCCGCCTACCTGGACAACCGCGTTGACTCACCTTCCGGACTCAAGCAGGCTGTCGCGGACATGCCAGCCCTTGCCCAAAAGGGCGTCAGAATTCTAGCACCTCCAATCTGGGCCCTGCTCTCGACGGACTCACAGAATCGCATTACACCGTCCGAGTACGCAAAAGCAGCCAAGAAGGCGGGCATTCAATTGATTACGTGGTCACTGGAACGCTCGGGTCCGTTGAAGGACGTTGCTGCAAACAATGAGTACTATTACAAATCCGTGCTGTCGGCAGTGAAGGATGATGGTGATATGTATGAAGTCGTGGATGTTTTGGCGAGGCAAGTCGGAGTCATTGGAATATTTTCGGACTGGCCCGCCACGGTGACATATTATGCGAATTGTTTTAGATTGTAAGCATCCGAGAATGGATCTGGAGGGAGCTCTGTTTTTCGCTCCTCTTCATTAATGCTTTGCATTCTGTGTATATATGTTCTATTCTGGCATTTGAAAATTAATATGAGTGGCCTGCATGCAAGTGGCCGCGAACATTGAAGACTCCTTCGCTGAGAGGCATTTAAAAGATCAACGCCTCCTATTCCCTACAAATCCAAATATTCAAGTGGCCAAAGTAGGTGGATGTATTGAACATGGGATATGCTTTCTATTAAGCCACAGGAAGGGTATCCGCATCGAATTCGAATCCGCTTCATGCATGTCTAATGCTTATTAGGGTCCTCCATGACCCGTGGCTAAAAATTGCGGGAAAAAAAAAAAAAAAAAAAAAAAAAAAAAAAGGGAGGGCTGCTATATACGAGACATTTCATCATGATTCCATAGCCTAACTGGTCGCCATAGGCGCAATTAGGACTCCATAAATGATACTCACTTACTCGCCAGCCTTCGACGACCTAAACGCCTCCAGCAACGCTTCCGCCTCCTGTGGATTAACCGCATCCTCCAACATCTCATGGGCCATCTCAACCGTATCATCCGTAATCCCACTCTCCAACAACGGGCCTTCACTAAATGCTAACCTCGTCAACACCACTAGATGTTTCTGTACCGCGCCAGGCACAGCGCGCAGTTTAGGCGACAGGTCGACCTCGTCAGGAAACATCGTGAGGATGCCGTAAGCGAGACGGGTAAGACCGTTGACGAGCGCAGCGTGTAGCTCCCGTTCTGGAGGATACGAGTAGAGCGCGTCGAGCTCGTCGTGCATGGCGCGGAAGACCCGCGCCAAGGCGCTCGGATGCGTGGCGAGTATGCGACCTGCCTGGTTGCGCTGCGGGTCCGGGGAGGGACAGGAAAATGCGATCTCCAGCAGGAATGACATGGCTTCCATGCGCAGGGTGGCAACCTCCCACGGCGTGTAGGGCTTCTCACCTTCGTCGACGGCAGGTTTCTCGTGCAGCAGGTTGGCAAGGCGGTCGATGATGTACTTCTGGTTTGTAAGTTGATCTGCTTCGGTTTTGAGTATGGGTCCAAATGACGTGGGCAGGATACTGCACGAGAGGATATTGAGGACGGTGATAATGTCCCTGATTGGTTGGTAGGGGTTCAACATTATGAGGATGAAGTCGTAATCGACTGATTGCCAAAAGAGGCGAAGGGCATCGTGGTCATGGCAACATCCGCTGACGGTGAGATAGAGGATTTCAAGTGCTTCTGTAGCGTTTACCCGGTGATCCAGATCCTTCTGGGGCGTCTGTTTTATCTGCCCGTAACTCTGATGAGAGACTGGCGAGTTAGTAAATCTCGGCACCCCGTTGACGTAGACAGAGTTATGCAGCACCGGCAGCAGGTCGATGACAAGAAGAGGAGCAATTGCGGTAGTGTCCAGATTCAGGATGAATTTGATGATTGACATAAACATGAAAATCGGGTCGTAGAATGATTCTCTCAGCGAACGAGCCCATAGCGAGATCACGGCCTTTGCGTATTCCACCGCAAAGTTTTCTGAAGGCTTTGTTGTGGTTGCTTGCAAGATATAGGAGGAGAACATCCGTTCAGGCTCCTTTGGAAACGAGATGCTCGCAAAGGCCTCCAGATCGCGAACTTTGCATGGGTAGGACTTGTGGTTCAGAATTTTCCGAACAACTTTGATGTTGTAATCTTCTTTAGGTGGCTTTACCAGTCGCGCATCCAGATCCACGGGGTCCATCTGCGCTGCCTCCATCAGATTTGATTCAAAGGACTGGCTGAGCTGGAGTGGAGCGGTAATAGGGGAGTCGTCCGTTACAGCCCGTTTTCGCTTTCCCGCAGCAGATGGAGTCCCCCGTTTCGATCTTCGCCCGGCGGACCTGCTCGGAGACGCCATTATCTCGTCATCGTCAAACCCATCACGGAGAGGAAGCATTCTCGGCTTCCTGGGTGTGGTGGGTACCGCTTCGTCGGCTTTAGCCACGGCTTTCCTATTTTGTTGTATCTCGTTGAGCCGAAGTGTCTCCTCCCGTAAGTCTTGCTTGAGAAATTGGTTTTCGGTTGCCATACGCTTGCTCTCCGTCATAGCAGCGTCTATCTGGGCCTGATGTTTTTTCAGCTCTTCATCTAGAGCATTCTGCAATGCACTTATTTGGCGGCTGTGGTTCTGTTCCGCCTTTATGTGGTTGGCTCGTATGATAGCGATCTCTCCAGCTCGTTTTTCAGCCTCCGTTTTCACGGAAGCCAGCTCTTGGAATAGTTGCTCGCGTTCCATCGTGAGCTGTAATCGTGGGTCAGATATAGTAACGTCCAAGAATAGCCAAGGAGGGGAAAACACACCCGCCGGATCTGGTCCATCATGTCGTCCACGTCCATGGTTTGGTCATCGACATCGATTCCATGCTTGCTCTCATCGGGTACCAGCATCATTTCACTGCCAAGATCAGTGTCTTCAGCGCGCGGTAGTCTTTTCCTAAGAGCCTCAGGACGTCCTTCGGGTGCCGCAACAGCTTCCATCCCCTGAACGGAGCGAGATCCCGCCACGCCCTTGCCATAGAAGACATCTTCGGCGCGATCTGGTGCATTTTGCAATCCGGCATGGTGCTCGTCCACAGGGGACGGTCCGCCCCCGTCGTCCAACACCCCAGCGTCGAGATTTTGGGTATCTGTGTCGCCAAAGCTGATCGGATTCCGAAGCAGCTTGGACGGTGGCCGAAGGACAGAGGGCTCACCATGGGAGGTTTGCGCGCCGGAGTTGTACTGGTATAACGCGTGCTGTGGAGGGGTGATAGGCTGCTGGCGGGGTGCGCTGGCGGCTAGCTGATGCTGCGATGCCGCCGCATCGGCATTGTCCACGAGCGCCAATAACTCGTCCGCTGAAATTCCGTCGACGAGCTCATCGTAATAACGATCGTCGTCTTCCATTCTCGAAGCCGGAAGGTTCCTCTAGCCTGCCGTGCGCAAAGAGGTCGTGGGGCGCTTGGATTCATGTGTGTGTGTGCCTGTGTGTGTGGGAGCAGAGACGAACGAGAAGAGAACCAAAACCGTTCCAACAGGCGGCGGCGTGACGCTGCAATATAAGCGAAGGATTCCTGTCTCTGCCTGACCGGCTGTCTCGAGGCAAAGGCCAGCGTGCTGCGGCGGAGAGTTCGTCTCGCCGCCGTTGCGTTGACGTAAGAATTCCATGTGCAAACACCAACTGGTTAACTAGTTAGTTAGAGAGTTTGTTGGTTAACCTGCTAGTTAAAGACTGACTGATTCAGAACCAACAAACATCTGCGGAAAATCACACAACAGCCTGCCATCCGCTTCCCGAGCAGAACCCCCCTGGGTGAAAAACAGCTGTCCTGCTGTCGTTTTCTTATAAATTCCGTGCTGTCCTGCCGCCCGCACATGCGCTTGGAGCTTGTCTTTGCAGCTTGTTCGAAGCTCAGCCCAACGTCTTTTTTTCCCGCCGAAGCCCCAACGGTTTGCTCAAAATCCGCGAAGCTCTGCTCCCGCCCAGCCCATGAGAAACAGCCCTCGCTTCATCCACGATGGGCAGACCGAGAAGGAATGTCCGATTTCAACATCGGTCCGCCAATGAAGCCTCCAGGACTCATTCCGACACCACCGACGCATCCGAACCCCCCAGTCCCCGCAAGGATGGGAATGGTGAAAAGGGGGAGATGGCTTCACACATAGTATGAGAGCTAGCATGGTTTCCTTTGATCAAACAACGCTGGGTCGGCACTGACGATTGATCAATTGCCGCAGAAACAGGAACCCGCCGAGGGCCAGCTTTCGGAATACGAGAAGAAGAAGCAGACGTTTATAACTCGAACGATATGGACGTTCGTGATGATCGCTGGGTTCTTCATTGCCATGTTCTCGGGCCACATCTACGTGATCGCAATCGTTACGGCTATCCAGATCGTATCCTTCAAGGAGGTTATCGCTATCGCCAACGTGCCCAGCAAAGCGAAGAATCTGCGCTTCACGAAAGCGCTCAATTGGTACTTTCTTGCGACAACTATGTATTTCCTGTACGGAGAGAGCGTGATCTACTACTTTAAACACATTCTACTCGTTGACCGAGTGCTTTTACCCCTTGCGACCCATCATCGATTCCTCAGCTTTATGCTCTATCTAATGGGTCAGATTTCCGTGGTCATTTAACCCATCCATGAACCTTTTGCTAACACCTTTTGCTCAGGTTTCGTCTTCTTCGTCGGTTCTCTTCAGAAGGGCCACTACAGGTTCCAGTTTACCCAGTTCGCGTGGACTCACATGGCGCTCTTCCTGATTGTTGTTCAAGCGCATTTTATCATGAACAATATCTTCGAGGGCATGATCTGGTTTTTCCTTCCCGTCTCACTCGTGATTACAAACGACATCTTCGCCTACGTCTGTGGCATCACATTTGGTCGCACGCAGCTGATCAAATTATCTCCAAAGAAGACCGTCGAGGGGTTTGTTGGTGCCTGGATCTGTACCATCATCTTTGGCTATGCCATGACAAACATCCTCATGAAGTACAAATACTTCACTTGCCCCGTGAACGATCTGGGATCGAATGTCCTGACAGGCCTGGAATGCAACATCAACCCGGTATTCAAACCGCAGCCATATCAATTACCGGGCTGGTCGCATGTCGGCCGAACCTTCTACATCGCTCCCATGCAGTTCCACATTCTCATGTTCGCGACGTTTGCGTCTCTCATCGCTCCGTTTGGCGGCTTCTTCGCATCCGGCCTGAAGCGCACGTTTAAGATCAAGGATTTTGGCGAATCGATCCCCGGACATGGCGGAATCACCGATCGCATGGACTGTCAGTTCATCATGGGCTTCTTCTCGTATATGTACTATCACAGTTTTATCGCGGTCCACAAGGCGAGCGTTGGCGGTGTCATTGAGGCTGCCATTACCGGTTTGACGGTCGACGAGCAGATTGACGTTATGAAAGGATTGGCCAAATATTTATACAACCAGGGCGCGGTATCTGAAACAGTATGTCCACCGTGAATCTATAGTGCTGCCGACTCGAATCACCTGTACTAATCGTTCCCTAGCTCCTCGAGTGTTTCAATGGCGACTTCAAGCTCCGTAGATGACCTTGGGTCTGTCTAGACTCTTCAAACATTCAACAACTCTGAAGACCTTTTGTCTGATCACGACTTGCATTACATCTGGCGACCCTACAATCCTCCTCCGTGAATATCCTTAACTCTATCCCTGCTGCTAAAGCAGTTTGCATGCGTGCATGCATGTACTGTTGTAGCGCATGATACCTGTCAATATTTCAGTTTCAAAAAGAAAGACAAAAGAACCTAATGTGAATGTGCCTTTTACTTCCCTAAAGAAATTTTAAACTTTCTCAACCTTAATCTTGGCTTTTATTTTTATTTTTTACGCCTCTTTCTATAGGTCATTCACATCAGCACTGAGGTATTATGGGTAACCGCTTCTTGTGTGTTCTTTTCTTCTGGAACCATTCTCCCTTTTTCCCTCGACCGTTATATACTGCCCTTGATGGCATGCAGGGTCGAGGTTTGCATTTCAAAAACACGCTTTGACAGGAACCAAACACTTTTGATATTTGCATATTCTCATATGGTAAGGTATACACGTATGTAATAAGTTGACATGATGGGCTTTTTGCGCTTCTCGCAGATCATAGGCAGGCTTGCTTTTATAACTTTTCGCACTTTCATTTCTACATATTAATTTTATTTCCAGTTCAGCGGCGTTCCCTTTTATTATTTTACAAATTTGTTCGGTGATAGGCTTATTGATGAAGACCAAAGCAAAGAAGATTGATTTAACTAAGTAAATTTTGTTTCTTGATAATTGATAATGTAATATGGGTATACAGAGTGTCACTCCTATTGATCAGGAAAATTGATGAAGTATAGATTTTAGATTACGCGCACAGATCTATGAGTGTGTGCGAATAACACGAGGATATTTCTCAGAGAGTTTGTGTGTATATAGGGACCAGATGGAAAACCCAGCCATGGAAAGCGTACCGCCAAAGGGAGAAGCCGACCGGCATGTTTAGTTGGCGAGCTATTCTTTCCTCTCATATGCTCGTGCTTTGAGCTTCTGGTACCGATCTTGATTAGCGGGCTCAGCGCTTTTCTGTCCTTCGGAGGCAGACATCGAATCAGAACCTTGTCCGCAGCACCGTAGTTTCGACCGACAGAGCTTTTGGGCGTACACCTGGGAAAATGCATATCGGCCCGACGTGCGCTTGCGCAAGTCCCTTAGCGGATTGAGAGTGACGATATACCACGAGCTTCAAGGTCATCTTGGGTGTTTCTCGGGTAAATAGGGCTGTTATTGCCTCATTGTATCTCTTCTTTCTTTTTCTTCATTCTTCCTCCACTTCGTACTGCTCCATCTCCACCTTAAAATACTGCTCCACAGTCGCGCGCTCGGCCCTCGCCTGCTCCGGGTTCAACATAAACCGTATCGTAGCATCTCTACCCCTCTCCGTCGATCGGCGAGCAGGGTCGTGCGCAGCAGTTGGTGCGAGCGGGTTGACGCGCGGGGCGTCCTTTGTCGCCGGGCTGGCAGCGTTCTTATTGTTCTTATTATCCCTGTCCCTTTTCGATCCATTAGGTGCTCGAACACCGTTTGGTTCGGGCTTGCGTCTGTTGAAGTAGGCGTAGCGAGGTAGCTTTTTGAAATCGGCCTCTTGGTTGAGTGGAATGCGGATGTTGAGGAGCGTGTCGAGGGAGAAATCAGGGCCTATAGAGGTTGAGTTGCGGTGGTGAGTGTAGAGTTCGAGGAGGTCAAGGATTGTTTCTAGATAAAAAGCATGGGTGTGTGAGCTCATGGGCTATTATCGCGGGTGCGTTGATTGGAAGGAATCATACCCATTACTTCCGCCCGGGACGTTTGCCAGCGTTCATACTCCGAGTCCAGGTCGATATCCTCTAACGGATCGTCCAATAACCTGCCTGCCAGCTCTAAACAAGCAAAGGCCATAGTTGTGGATGTTTGCTTTAACGGAGCAAACGTGCGATATAAATCGAGACTGATCATATACGCGAGTTTGGCGACTTTAGAATCCTTCCTTAGGCAGCGCTGCCTGATGAATTTCAAGAGAACCTTCTGGGGATGACGGTTCCGGAAGTCGAAGCCAGAGGACTCAAGCATAAGTCTTTCCAGACCGATGATGCTGCGAGAGTGCGATTCGAAGATCTAACACCACTTCGTAAGTGTCCTAAGTTCAATGAGGCAGGGAGTGCTACGGAGGGAAATGAACGTACAGGATCATCTGCAGAGAGCTTCTCTGCAGGCGATAGCTTTAGGTTATATGCGGTACAAAGAATGTCCCGCGATTTCTTGAGAGTATCCTCGATCTTGCAAGCGGTGAAAAGCGCCGCTGCAGCCGCATCCTTGAAGGGAAATAGGTCAGTAAGCAGCACGCGGGGCCAAGAGGAGACAAAACATACGACATGATTATACTCATTGTCAGAATGTACCAGGCGGAACTTATGATAGTAAATGGCCGCCGTATTAAATGTCCGCACGGGCCTGTACGCATAGAAGATTAGCAGAGGCGCGAGAAGCAGAATGATAGATTAAATATATATATATATATATATTTGTTTTTTCTTAATAAAAAAAAAGTGAACAAGCATACAAATGGAGTGCTTTTCGCACATTGTCAATCCAGGTTATACCCTGGAGCCGGATGCTGTCTTCCCGCTGCGGATTCACCCCCGTAGCCGTAAAGCATTCCTGCACCGTCCTCTCAAAAACATATGGATTTGCTACCTGGATGAAAGACGGATGAGGGCCAGCCGGCGGAGGAAGGGGAGGCGGAGGTGCATGGTTCTGATTTGCAGAGCGGGCATTTTCATTCCTCGCTGGAGACATTGTTTGTTATTTAACATATATCTGGCTACTATCGACCAAGCATCTCGATATCAATTATCGAGCTTAGGGTGATGATGAATGGTGATGCTGAAGGTGAAGCCGGAGAAAGAGATTATCCGTTGTGTTGCGCTGAAGTGGAAAAGTCAAATTCAGAAATAAAAATAAATATAAAATATAAAAAACTCAACCAGAGTGGAGGTTCATCGCACATAAGAGCGACAAGGGCAGAAGCCAGCGGCATTGCGTTTACTGCTGTTGTGTGTCTATTAACTAGTTAGCTGTTGGATATCCGAACGGTTAATAGTCAAATTACGGAGTATAACTAGGCATCATCGGCAAGCTGAGGCATTATCAGCAGCTGTGGCACAAACTCAGCCTGATAAACCCCCCTTATCATCCCTGGGCTGAGAACTAATGAGCAAATTGTGTGCTGTACTCTGTAGTGGCCTCTATTTGTTATGCTTTTTGCTTCATCTAACTAGATGGTTACGTTCCCTCTGTCCAGAGCAACCCCGATACGCACGCCATTCTCCCCGCAAACCCGATCTGTCCATGATAAATACCATCCAGCCCATCAGAAATTTAGAGTTCAATATTCCTCCTTGCTTTGAGTGGCTCTTGTTTAACCTTGCTTTCAGAATTTGTCATTATTGACATCTGTTATCACAACCTAGTTAGCCGCTCTCGTGCTTCTTGATATTCTCGTCATGGCGTCCACCACCGTTCTTGTGGTTTTTCAGCGCCATAGCATCACAAAATGCTTTGTTGCAGGGTCGGCAGAAGTTGTGATTTTCCTTCTGCTGATGGCTCCGGAGCTGCTCTGCTGTGGCTGATGTAAAAGCACACGACGGGACAGTGCATTTGTGCCTTCCTCCAGACGCCGCCACGGTGGCCGTGGGTTTGGGAGGGCTGGGGGTATGGCGAGAGTTGTCGTGCATCGTGGCCATGTGCTGTCTGTGACTCTTCTGGTCCTTGAAGTAACTGTTGCAGGGTTTACAGTAGCAGTGTGCCTTGAGCTGCTGGTGCGCGATGAGGTCCTCCAGGGTGAAATGGGACAGTCCGCACACTGCGCACTTGAAGCTGTGCACCTGCTGCTTGTGCTTGTGAAGCAGAGTTCGATCAGCGAAGAAGGCATAACACCACTCGCAGTAGTTGTGCTTGTCCATCATCTGGTGCTGGTGCAGTGCGATAACATTGCTGAAGTTTGTTCCGCATTCATAGCACATTATACCGCTCATTTGCGTGTTTTGCTCCGGCGATTTGACTTTGGGTGGCTGAGGCGGTGCTTGGGCACTTGAAGGAGGAGATGCCTTGATCGGTCCAGAGGCCTGCGGCGTGACTCTCGCCGAAGGGGGAGATGCGGTTGGCGTCGTGGTGGTGGAGATCGGAACTCTCTTCTTCAGCTCGACGTCTTGAGTCGGGCTTTGCTGGTGCTCGGCTTCAGGCTCTTCGCGTGTCGGTCGGCTTCTCACCACGCTTTGGAACTGGCTGATGGCTTTACTAAGGCTGCCTGCTTTCTCGTCTGGTGGGCTGAGGTCTAGCAACAGGTCTCCCTGGAGTGGCTCTAAGAACGCTATTTCGACTGACTTGCCGCTTTCACTACCTTGGGCCAGGGCGCATCTATCATCGAACGGGTCCTCGAGTATGTCCGTGGAGGTTTCTGGATCTGAGCGGAGTTCACTTGGAAGCGGTCCCGGCGCATCTACAGTGCGATTCTCCCGAGGGCGCACTTCGGTGTAATCGTCCATCGGAAGGTATCTGAAGCCCTGTTCCCGACCCTCAGGCGCAACTGGCGCTGGCTGCGGTTTGGCCATTGCAGTATTATTCGCGCTCAGGACTCTAGGTGGACTCTGTCAGAGGAGAATTGCTGGCCGTTGCTGAAAAGAGCTGGTGGCAACTTACCGAGGATGGGCGACCAATTTGTGGCGTTCAAATTCGCACTCGATTTCAAAAATCAAAGCACACACATGGCATTGGCGCAAAACTCCAGGCCTGATATGGCACATATAGACCTGGCTGTTTTCGACGACTGTCTCGCATTTCAAGCATTGGCGCATGAGTGCAGCTTCTTGCATGTTCTCTGAGTGATGCATCTGATCAGCAGGTGTTGGGACAATGATCTGGCCCTTTCTTGCCCGGTATCGATGATTCTGCAAGCAGCAGACAATGGCGACTGTTGTTTCTTGGTCGTGGTGGGTTGAAAAGAAAAAGGAAAATGGTTGTTGAGAGAGGATGCAGGTGGATCGGTTTGGATGCTGACCTTTATCATGGACAACAACGCCTGAGCGCCCTGATATCTTCCGGCTCCAGAAGCAACAGTAGCGTAGTGCGAGTGACAAAGCCATGAAAACTCCCGTTCTTTCTTTGAGCTCACTTTCCAGTCTTTGATCGCGCTGTATTTAACGGGAAATGTGAAGCCACAGTGAATGGTTTGCGATACTTGTAGTGAAGGTAGCAAAAAGTGCAACAACAGCAGGTTCTTGCAGAAGCTGCCCCTCAGGCGCTGCTTTTATTTCACTAGCCATTGGGTTTCCCGTGATGAGAGAGGTGAATTGACATTGGTGAAGAAGCAGCCATACTCATCCAAACGTGACTGTTGTCTGCTTGAGAATGTCTCTAACACCCTCAAGCAGAGCGCAATTCACCTTCACGCGATCCAGCATCTTCCTTGGAAACTGGATCATCGCGTCTTACACACTCACTTACATACTCAAGCACGAGCCTACCACGGCCAAGTTACACAAAAACTGCGCCAGCTACCACTATCGCTGCACTAACCAGCCTTAATCCGAATCTCGATGCTGACCGTCCTCGATGATCAGCAACCCAAATCCCGCCCCCCCCCCCCCCCCCCCCCCGGATGCCTCCAGGGACTAGCTTTCCGCAGCACCCGCCCGGATGATGCAAGCGCCAGGAGCCTGCCCTGAGCTGGGGGGTGGCATCACATGACGGCCCCGGCAGCAGGCCCCTCCTGTAGGCAGGGAACCAGGGCGCTTGGGGGGGGCGTCCGCTGCCCAGATGCCGCTGTGTTCACAACGTCATCGCTAGGCCTCTTCTGCTCAGCTGTTCATTGCTCGTCCTTATAAGTTGGCCGGGGACGCCGTCTCTCTCGTATTCACTCTTCTTTTGCCTGCTGCTCTCTCTACCGAACCACCCAAAGTCGCACCACCGAATTTTTCTTTTCTTCTCTCCCAGACTGAACTTGCTGTCAGGTAGAACTCACTGGGAGACTGAAGATCTTCCCTCATTTTGTTATAGATAATAGCCGCTTTGATACAAATACATTCGATCCGAGTACCTAGAAATACCTTGAAAAATATGGCCGTCACCCTGGGGCCTTCCAGCCCGGACGCAGACATCCATCCCATCGCAACGGGTCCTGCAAAGGAGATTGTAGAAAAGCACTCCAGTGAGCAGCCATTCAAGCTTTATGCTGGCTGGTTTTGCCCGTATGAGTTTTGCTTTTCTTTTCTTCACCTTTTTTTTTTTTTTTTTTTTTTTTTTTTTCCCGCAATTTCTTGCCTGACCTTCTTTATCGCTTTTTTGTTTTCCCCTCTTTGTTTCGATCAAACTAAAGCGGAATTCTGACAATGGGTGTAGGTTCGGTATGCAATCGTGCAGTTTTCTTTTCTTAGAACCAGATACTCCCTTGCTTCCTTTTTCCTTTTCCCCTAGATATTTTTAAACTTCCAGGTCGACGGTTTGATCTAACAAGTCACCTCGCCCTCTCTTTGTAGTCCAGAAAACCTGGATCGTTCTCGAGGAGAAACAGATTCCTTACCAATACATCGAAGTCAATGCGCCCCTCGATCCGAGTTCTCTCCTGTCACCAAATCCGCGTGGGGCGATCCCCACGCTTTACTGTCCCCAGCCAGACGGCTCCAAACCGCTCTATGAATCGAACATCATCAACGAATACCTCGAAGATGTCTTCTCGTCTCATCAGCCACACCTCTTCCCGCTTGATCCGTACAAGAAGGCCAGGGCCAAGATCTGGGTGGACTTTGTGACGTCGCGGATCATACCCTCTTTCAATCGCTTCTTGCAGGCCCAGGGCGAAGGAGAGATCGCCAAGGCCCACAACGAGTTTCTAGGCCACCTGAAAGAGTTCATAGACGCGATGGACAGTAGCGGGCCGTACTTCTTCGGTGAAGATTTCACCATGCCCGATGTTGCACTTGCTCCGTGGGCGATGAGACTCTGGCTACTCGACCATCTCAAGGGTGGCCTGAGGATTCCAGAACCAGGTGAAGGCGGCGAAGACGAGCAGATTTGGGAGAGGTGGAGGGAGTGGGTGGATGCAGTTGGCAGCAGAAACTCTGTAGCCAATACACTCAGCGAGAAAGAGTATTATTTGCCGATATACAAAAAGGTATGCCGATAATCTTGCACAAAACCAGCCGGTAAAGGTGACCAGAGGTGGAAACGGCGCATCCTAGATAACCCTATTTAGATAATCGGATAGCACCCGAGGTTATCAGACCTTTCGCTACTCTAAATATCCTCCCATATAATCCACGGTTCTCAGGAGCTCCAGCGAAGGCGTGGGTTGGCGGGCCCGAGCTTGAGAATTTAATCCAAAACGTTTGGGTGGCAGAAAATGCCTGGGTGGTTTCCCCCTGGGCTGCCAGCTCAGGCCCTCGGTCCCACGGTTTTTCTGGAATAATTGTCTTTGTGGCTTTCAGATTTCCATTCTCATTACTAGCGCGTTCCCTGTGCCATGTCATAGTTAAATCTTAGTGATGACCATACTTGCTCAGCAGTTTCTGCATGATGGACACAGCGCCGGATCGATAACCACCACCAAATATAGTATGATGGTTTAAGTGATGATACCTAGATGTGCCCGTGTTAGCATTGACTCACTCGACTCGCAAACTTCAAAGGGTTGGCCGTACAACTCGTATAGCTTGACTCGATCCACATACTCATCCACTGGCTCTGTCTTCGGCACCAGACAATGGTACTCTTCATAGAAGTCCCTGCCAAAACCTCCGAACATGTTCATAATCCCAAGCTCAAACTCACTATGTGCATAGCAAGCTGATGGGTCATATACCACATCGCCAATGTCCTCCTTTTCCTCGTGGAAACCGGCATCATCATCACTGATTCTGGCACGGAGTATCTTCCCCCTTCCCACATTCCCACTCCACAGGTCGCCATGAACAACCACAGGAACGACCCCACTCCCGTTCCCGCGCCTATCATATCCTAGGTGGCCATCACCAAGTAGCCTGGGAACAACCTCCACAGCAACCCGTTCCACCAAGTCCCTCAATTCCTTATCAGGCCCATTCCTCTTCTCCGACTCCGCAAGCACCGTCCGCAACCTTTGATCCGCATAGAACTCAGCCCACGACCGACGAAACTCATTGGGCTGCCTCACATCCCCACAAAACGTCGGCACCGGAAACCCGAACTGCAATCGCCCATCGTCCTCATCGCCAACCCCACTACTATTCTCCACGTTATTATCATCATTCTTCTCCTCCTCCTTTTTCCTCTTCTCCGCCAAATTGACAATTTCATCTCCGACGACCGACGTGGGCGCCGGCGGCGCCGGCGTACAATGCAGCTGAGCCAGCCTCCTCGCCAAGCGCGCCCTTGATGTTATCACGCCCGACGAACTCCTCCCTCCCCTCCCCGCAGGGCCTCCCAGGTCCAAAAACTCCGTAGCAAGAAACCATCCACCGCTGCCATCGTCGCCCAGCTTACCCCACGCTAGACCGCGCGGACACAGCGCCGGCACGACCGCGGCGATCGCATTCAGACTGGCGCATTCGCCGCGGAACATTTCCATCGCGGGGTCCGGTGCGGGATCGGGATGGGGGCCGCCGCTGGAAACGTGGGGGCGGGATAACGATGATAACGACGTTTTGATGAAGAAGTGCCTCTCTATCTCGGCTTGTGGGTTCTCTGGGTTTGGGACGAGGACGCGCAGGTGTGCGGTGGATGCGAAGCCCGATCCGCGGCCGTGGGTGGAGAGGGTTGCTTTGGACGGGTCGAGGGCGGAGAGGGAGAGCGCTGCGAGGATGGATTGGCAGGTGGAATGGTGGGAGAGGTAAGACATGTTCTTTGGGTCTCGCGTTTTAGTATATTGGAAGTGAGTTGTGCGTCTCTTTTCCTCTTTTAATTCTGAGGGGTTTGGCTTGGTATGGTTGAGCAGAGGGGTAAATTTCTATGTGGTAAGTGTTGTAACTATATAACCATCACTGGCAGGGAACAATGAGACCGTTGGGCAGGATATTCTGAGATGGAACTGGCTTTGTCTGTTACGAAGTTGTCTCTGATGGTGCCTGATTTACTGATTGCTTTATGAAACTCACTACGAAGCAATGAACTCAGTATCTGGTTAACTGCCAAACTAACCAGCTGGCAGGGAAAGCTTAGCGGTGATGCTACTTATCCCGAACCCCCACCAAGCTGGCTTCAAGCTGTTAACATTCGCCACCCGCAGGATGTGGTAGCAACACAGGTATACCTTGAATATGCAGAGTATATATATGCAATTTATTTTATAAACAATGCTTGCAATCGCTGTAAGGTGCTCAGCCTGAACACAACTGCTACTCCAATTAACGCATGCATCTTGTTTTTTCACTTTTGCTGCCAAAACCACGCCTCGCTCAAAGTATTCTAAATCCAATTACCCCCATGCTTTGGAACAGATAAGACAATCATGATCGTTAAGGACATGCAGGGGAGGAATGTTAAACCATACTCAATCCGAGTCCAATGTAATGCTTTATAAAGAAAAGAAAAAGTAATAATAACCAGGGTATAAAGTGTGCAATAACGGGTAAAACATAAGGGTCTGTATTAAAAGGGGGAAAACAAATGTAAGAGGGGGGAGAGAGAGTATGCGATCAGGCATTATCTCACCAAATCAGCAAGCTGACGCCAACAAATTGCCCATCAGGTCCAGTGCGGTCTTTGTGCGCTGCCTCACGTCACATTCGGGATCGTCCTCTAATCTTACCAGCTGCTCCAGGACTCCAAGCTCTCGCAACTTGGCTGCGCGCTCTCTGCAGGTCGGACGATCGCGCTGATCATCTTCAACTGTGAGGTTGATCACGACCCACACGCAGTTCACCCGCACTTCCTTGCTTGCATGCTGGAAGAGAGGCATCATGAGTCTCAGCAGGTCTGGGTGTAGCATGAGCAGCTGTCGATGACGGGGCAGACCCGCGGCGATATTGATCATGATATATGTCACCGAGGAGAGAATCTCGGTGGGAATTGAATTATCTTTAGAGCTAGGATCTTTGCGGCCGTGACCAGGACGCAGCTTAGGACGCAGCTTGTCTGCAAGGATATCAAACAGATCCGTAACCTCTTGAAATAAGTAATCAATCATTTCTGGGGCTCCGGTACCACAGATCAGATTCCGCACGAGGTCGAGAATCTGTTCTTGAACCTGTATGTCATCCCGACGCATTTGTTTCGTATGGTCAAGATCTCCATTCAATGCTAGCTTCCTTCGTCGGGCACTGTCTGTCAGGAACGTATCAAGGCTCGCTTTAGCAGGCATAACAGTATCGATCATTCGAAGATCTGGAGTCTGTGATTCTGAGTCCCTGCTGTTGTAGTCATGTACTAGATTCTGAATATCGGTCGGGTCCCCAAGAGGTGGAGTTATCTCCATCTCGTTACCCGTCATCTCCTCTTCGGCTTTTCGCTGTATCGACGGATCAGTTGGATCCTCGCAGATAACACGCTTAAGCCAGGCAGGCTCAAGGGTCTCAACGATCTTCATCTTTATGTCGTTGGTGGAGTTGTAAGCAATATGCTTCAAAGCCCAGATTGACTCCAGCCGCAACTTCGTGTTCTCGGAGTGAGAGTGTTCGCAAAGCGTGGGAATCATATTCGCCGAAATGATCGCCTTGAATATCGAGTCAGTTGAACCGAGGTTTCTTAAACGTGGAGCATCCGGGCTCAGACTTACTTCCTTCATCGGGCTGAAATCCAGGGCTAGATTGCAAATCACAGACGTAGCCGCAATTTGAATCTCAACGTTTCGAGACTTGACCAGCTTGAATATCGGGTTTGCAACGCCAGCATCGATCAAACTGGTGCGTAGCACGCTCACGGAGCGAGTCAGCGATCGGGCAGCCGCACAAGCAGCGAGCAGTGTCGGAATTGGATTCCCTTCAACGGCTGCTGACTTTGCGTCACTGGAACTCTCAGTGGATTCCGGTTCATATGGCTTTAAGGAATCGATCACAAGCGGTACAACTCCATTGTCACAGATAGCTTTGCGGTATTCTTCTCTGAAGAGCGAGAGCGCCGAAAGCGCTCTTAGAACGCCTTCTCGAACTCTCACTCTGTGGAACACCGAGGGGGAAACTCCGGGTGGTCCAAGAGAGGAGATCTCCGGCTGGAATCCTTTAAGAGAGGTCCCATTTGGCACGGGACTCCACATCGATCTTCCAGCGTCTTCAACTGCGTTGAACGATTCCTTCAACATCTGTGAAAGCTTCTTAATGGCACCACCGTCGGCAGCGTGCTTCTGAAGCTCTCGGCTGTCCATGACCAACGTGGCGAGCGTAGCAGGCGCTTCTTCTTTTACCCTTGATGTCTGTGAGATCGACCCACTCTCGCTCGATTCAGTATCTTCCGGGGCAGTGTATCCCTTCTCCAGCATCTGGAGGAGCAATGGCACGACTAAGTATCCGAGCATCGTGACGCGGTGCTTCTTAGCGAGGCCAAGACGAAAGAGGATAGCTACTAATCTGATGGCCAGAAGCCTATCCATCCCCGCCCCTTCCCTCGCAATGGAAACCAGCCACGATATTATTGCGCATTCATGCTCGTCGGAGGCGGACGGCGACTCGCTCTGAAGTGGGGGAGGGCTGAAGAAATGAGCATGCTTGTCGAAAGAAGAATGGGAGCCCAAGGGAGGGAAACTGGTTGATCCTGTAGGTTGGGGAGAGGGCACAGCGGGTAAGAGTGAATCTATGGGGTTTGACGAGTTCTGCTTGGACACGACAAATCCCACTGGATGGGAACCCCATGGCCCTCTTTTGACTTCGCCAAGGGGGATATTCTGGATATTTCGAGGAAATACAGTCACGATGGCCGGAGAGGTAAGGAAGTGATCTGCGCGGGACTTCGAGTACTCAAGGATCACGCATATGGCGCGGAGTATGGGACCGAGTTTCGCATTAGGTGGAGCGGGCGGCGGTATCGAACCCAAGCCCCCCGGCGCTCCAGCATAGTTTTCAGCTCCAGGAAGGACGTAACCCTGCGCTACTATGAAAGATGCTACCCTGGTGGCGAGGGCATCAAGCACGCCGGCCTCGGCAAGCGTGACCTTGTGTGACTCTTCGGTGCATGTTTTGGAGATCAGCTCCGCGGCCAATTCGATACAGGACTGTGCGCTGGAGAGAGTCGAAGTTTGCTTGAGGATCCTGAGAAGGCTGGTGATATGCACCGGTGAATAAAGGAGTGCGGATAGGTGTCGAAGCTGCGAGTAGCCGTGTTCGTATGCTAGAGGGAGTCTGTCCGCGATAGTGTGAAGGCATTGGAGGACGGCCAGGTCTAAGGCGGGGGAGGAGGAGGAGGAGGAGGAGGATGAGGGCGAGGAGGGCGTCGAAGACAGAATCTCAAAGAGCGAGGGCAAGATGTCGCTGGCAAGAATCGGGGCAATGAACGCTGGGCCGCCTGCGATATCCCGAAGTGAGACCGTTCAGCACAGCACACCGCAGAGCCAATGGTGGTATGGTATGGGGATTGGGGATAATGTGAAAAAGCGTGCACTGACCTTGCGCGAGACTGTTGATGATGATGACAGCTTCGCGGTGGGTAGCATCAGCAGCAGCCAAGCCATCCCCGCAGGCGGAGCACCCCTTATCTCCGTTTGTCTGCACGGTCGCGGGTCTGTCCCCAGCGAGGAGGGAGCTGGCCAGCAGAGTCGACAAGACCGGCACTATCCCATGTTCGATCCAGGCCTGCTTCTTCTGGTCATGGCCGATGAGATCGTTCTTCAGGGCCCGAAGCGAGGCGATCCGCGAACTGGGAGACTCGGGATCCCGGATTTCCGAAAGAAGCTGGGGACGAGATATTATCGTCATCTTTGTAAGGAATTAAGGAAAAAGCGGAATAAAATAAAACAAAACAAGGAAATGGAAGTAATTATTTGTTGGCCCAGACACACACAAATCCCTGGATAACCGAGAAGTATTCAGCTTCAGCTCAACAAGGGGTGTGATGAGACATTCAAAACGGCAAGTTTCAGGCACAGCGGTCGCGATGAATATCCAGGCTGGAAATGCACACACACACACACCTTAGAACTCCACTGGCTGGTCTATGATTCTCTCTATCTTTGCGACCCAACGACAAGGGTTAGGTTGATGGAAAAGTGCAGGGGGAGGGGGAAGAAAGGAACAAAAAAAGGGAGCTTTGGCAGACAATCACAGCACAGTATGCGTGTGTGTGGGTGTGTTGTTGTGTGTGCCTACAATGGTGGCGATTGATCTCAGGGAAACACGGTTGATCTCTTGGGTGAAGGGACCCTCAGGAGCACGGTGACAAATGGTGAAGCTGGAGTTACCATCGTCTCGCCTTTCATCCCTTGATTCTGCACGACTTGCTGTCCCTCTTCTCTTCAAGTCTCTCTTCTCGTTCTCCTCTCCCTGTCCCTTTTTTTTTTTCGTCAATTGCAGTTTTTTCATGACATCAGCAATGCTTATGTCAGCATTATTGCCAAGCAATGATTCTGATGATGTAATATGAGCTATGCCATTTTGGGCTAGCGTTGTCTTACATAAGCAGGGCTGTGGATGACATAATTTCCAGCGCCCAAAGAAAAAAAAAAAAAGCAAACACGCCGAAACCTTCACTGGGGCCCAAAAGAGAACTTAAGTTGTTGTAACGAAAAACGCTCGACTCGAGGATCCCGGGCCTGTTCTCTTTTTTCCCTCCCCGACGCGCAGATGGGCCAAGATGCGCCGTTCCCATCCCACTGCCCGACTCGACAGCGCTGGCCTGCTAGACCGTCTTCTTCTGCCCCCCGTCTGTCGTCCCCCTCGCGCGCCATAGCCGCTCCCGCCCAGGCCCACGTGCGTGCTTCCCTGGCTTCCAGCGCACAGGGGCATGATCTCCTCCTCGCCATCCGCCGCCGCGCTGCTATGCGCCTCTCCCAATCACCCTCCTGCCGCTGCCCCAGACATTCCCTCTCAGTCGCCGTTCTTTGACGCCCATCGTGCAGCAGCGCCGCCGCCGCCCCCTCCTGCTGCTGCTGCTCGCTCGCCTGCCTCGTCCCGCCTGCCCCGTCCCGACGCTCCCTGCGTGCGTAGCATTCCCGTCAGACAGGAGATACAGGTTGCCCTCCGCCGCCAGACCGTCGATGCCGGTACCCAGTACTCCCGTCCCGCCAGCCCAGCTGAACGAGTGGTGCCCCTTGCCCACCAGCAGCCCTCGTCCCGCGAAACAGCTGCTGTGACCGACAATTCCACCTCACTCTCTCCCCCCACCACCGCCACCACCACCACCACCAGCAGAACCACCGCTCTCAGTGGCGAGCTGCCCTCGTCTGACGTCCAATCGACCCAAGCCTCTGCATCGCCTGAGCCTGGCTCACGGATGCCCTCAGCCACTGCGGGAACTAAACGTAGCACGCCGGACACACGGGCAGCGGCGAGTTGCAAGGCGACGAGATCGAACGCCGGCGAAGACGGCCTACCCGACGGCTCCATACCAAAACGGCCCAGGCCAGAGCAGTTGGCGCCCAAAGTTCTCCCTCGGCAGTATGAAAATGCCGATTCGCGAGACCTGGTCGTTCTCATCTCCAGCATGCTCATGGAGCTGATCAGATTCAACGACCAGATCCCCCTGCGCGATGGTCGCCTCACACGCTTCCACTCGCGCTCTCCTCCGCGCATCTCCGTCCAGGACTACCTGCAGCGTCTGACCACCCACGCCACTCTCTCGCCTCCCGTCCTTCTGAGCATGGTCTACTACATCGATCGACTGTGCGCTCTGTACCCCGCCTTTACGGTATCTAGCCTCACCGTCCACCGATTCCTCATCACCGCGGCGACTGTTGCAAGCAAGGGTCTAAGTGACAGCTTCTGGACAAACAAAACGTATTCCAGGGTTGGCGGTATCACTATCGCAGAACTGGCTTTGCTGGAGCTCGAATTCCTCTGGCGGGTGGAATGGCGGATAGTTCCCCAGCCAGAAGTGCTGGTCGACTATTATCGAAGCCTCGTCGAGAGGTGCGATGAGTATGTGTTGGAGCCAGAGAACAATACCGGCCAGTGAAATGGTAAGCGACATCTACCCCTTCTTTTTTTTTTTTTTTTTTTTTTTTTTTCCCCATCAATTACTCGAATGACAGTGACATGTTCTGCATACTTCACAATGGATCTTTCCCAAGGCTCATTCAAAAAGTGGGAAATTCGTCTGATGATAATATCTATTTCCTCCCTCCTCATCTTCACTTGCGCTGGTGTTGTTCCCCGCCCTTAATGAGCCCTCATTTGAGAGGGCCCTCTACAATTTTTTTTTTTTTTCTTCTTCTTTTCTTCTTTTTAGTTTAATGTTGTTGGTCTATGGGCATGATATTTGGGGAGTTCGGTGATGTCTTTTAGTCTAATTATGAGGCTTTTCTTCATTTGATTAACTAGATGGGGTCTGGAATAACACGCGCACATACGCACGGGCGTTGCACCTACATACGTTCTGCATCTGTCTCTTGCACATATTCTCAAATCGATCTTATATACATACTTCACAATGACTGCTGCTGCATGATTTGGATTTGGCCTTTACTTCTGTTTTCAGAAAACAGAGAAAGAACAGAGAAAAAAAAAAAAAAAGGACAAAAGGATCCTAAATTGAATGTGCTCAGGCAATCGACCTCTGGCGAGGCTACACAGTCGCGCCATGATTGCAGTTGTGATTTGATAGTCGAGTTGATTCCCAGCAAGGTGCAGTTGTCCTTCACCAGAAATTGCATTTTGTGCTGCCAACATATCAACATTAGCAATGTGAAAAAGAAAACAGTTATCTTTCGATTCACGTGTTATAATTAGATGTGTCGGGCAGCTGTTCTCCCTGAGAGCTGCTTTGTAGTTACTCTACTGTTAGTTGGGTATACAAATTAGGGCATCGGTTTAGGGCTTGAGCCTTTTCTTTTTTTTTTCCCTGCGCAAGTTCTTTCGCCAGAAGGCCTGCCAAAGCAGCGTCATTACAGCAATCCAAGGAACAACAACATTTTATTTCGACAAGACTGAGAATTGGTCAGTTTGCGCTTGTTTAGATTCAATAGTATCCACAAAAATATATCATCTTTCCCATGCTGACATTGTCTGGCCTGTCGCAGCTTCACGTCATGACCCCTCTCATGCGACAACCCGATAACCTTCCATCTTTACCTGTCCAGCTACTATGATGTCTGCCATCAAAATTGGAGGTAGTTTGAAACATATCCAGCCCATCATCGGCCGGCTTGTGCCTCTGCCAACGGTCCAAGAGCTCCATCCAACACTTGAAGACGGTGAGCGACGGACTTTTCCATCCCTGGTTGCATCAACGTTTTGCTAACGGACTGACGAACCCTAGCCGAAGCCTTTGTTGCGGAGATAGACATCAAATCAGCGAATAAAGTAGTAAAGTCCGAACCGACTCTCGTCACCTCCAGAAGTAGCAGATGTTGGCGACGGACTAACCTGTGCTCGATAGGCTGCTTGACTCGAAGTTCCCCAGAGATCTGTCTCTCAATCTTGCATACCTCCGACGCTTCGCGAAGCGCGAACATCTACCAGACCACTTAAAACAGCCGCAGGAAGAAAATGGCCTGTCCGAACCGACCTCGAACCGTGCGAAGACGATTCATGTCCTGATCTCCCCGCCGCTACCGGATCGCGCAGAGCTAGCAACTCTACTCGCTCCTCACACCACTACGTCCACGGGGTCCATACTGTCCGATGGTGCAGAAGCGCCATCTTCGGCCGTGCAATTACGCTCCACGAGGATACCCTTGCAGCCTCCCACGTCGCTAGAACAAGCACAACAATGGTCTCGAAAATACTGGCCGACGGTATACAACCCAGCCGCCCAACCGGCATCCCATTCGCCGCCTCCCACGCTTTTGTCACGAACACAAGCTTCAATCAAGCCGCCTGCGGGGTTCTACCTCGCTCTCGCCAGAAAGTTAGCTGAAGAAGCAGAGCAATCGGGACGCGGTCGAGCAGTCGGCGCTGTCGTGGTCGACCCGGCGATCCTCGAGTCCAGCCTGGACGAACCACTCTCAGCCGTCGTCGCGGTGGCCGGTGATTCGCGATATCACGATCCAAACCAGCGCAGCCCAACACCAGCAGCACCGAACGAGCCTACCACCACCAACAACAACAACAACAGCGACGACCAACCTTACCACCCCGACAGCGAAGGCCAGCCCTCCGACCACGCCCTCATGCGCGTAATATCCCTGATATCACATAAACGTCTCACCATTCCACCCGCAGCATCCACCTCGAACCCGCCCGATCCCCAGCCCGATCCTCCCCAAAATCCAAAACCCCTTCCTCCTGAAGCCCAACCCCTCCTCCACCCGCCTCTCTCGCCACTCGAATCGCATTTCTTCAACACAGCCAACCTCTCCCCGCCATCCGGCGGCGGCTACCTCTGCACCTCTCTCGACGTTTACGTCACGCACGAGCCGTGTCTATGCTGCGCGATGGGCATGTTGCTCTCGCGCTTCCGCACCGTTGTCGTCGGGAGAAGAGCTCGAGGGAGCGAGCTAGCATCGTTGGATGCGGAGAGGGGGTATGGCCTGCATTGGAGACGGGAGCTGAATTGGAGGGCTATGGGGTTTGAGTTCGTCGAAGAGGGAGTGGAGGATGAGGATGAGCATGGGGGAGCTAGTGATGGATTTGGATTTCATGCATAGAACAACTGGCTGCCTCATTTTTCTTTTTTTTTTTTTTTGGGGGTCACGTAAATGGTGGAGGCGTGTGTTGTATAGAGAGGAGTCGGAGGCCCGTTTGGCCAGATCCCCGTTTTGGTTACGATGCATTTGTGCTGAATACATAATTGACGAGTTACATGTTGAGATGTATAAAAAAAAAAAAGTATAGAATTTAGGTTCCAGAGCCTTAAAAAAGGCCTCCGTTGTCCCTCAGTATTCGCTACCAATCTATCCTGTCAATCACGAGCCCCGCTAACGAGTGAATTGTCCATTATCACCATTCCTCAACATCGACGTCTCGTTTCCATCTCCCCAAGTCCCAAATCTTCGTCGAGAACCAAAAAAAGAAATAAAATAAAATAAAATAAAATCATAACTAGCAAGGCCTGTTTCCGTGGGTATGCAAGCTCCGTCTCGACTTTTCCACGCCCCTTTTTTAAGATATTATCATGCTTGTTTGAGCCAGCTAAAATGATGTCCTCAAAAGTGAATTCGTACCTTTTCTTAAAATACGGTTCAAGCAGCAGAGGAGTGGGGCAAAAACAAAACAAGAGCATCCAGTAAACTTCAGGAGACAAATGCCAAACGTAAAAAGCACAATTTCATTATGGTACATGGGCATGAGTTGATACAGAGGCATCAGGGTAGATATCCATGAACCCGAAGACGATAGGATTCAGCCTTCTGAGAAAACAAACCACGGGGACGATCGCGTGTAAGAATATATCCGTCATTTCTCATTTCTGAATATCACGAGCATGGCTTTTTGAGTAGAATTTGCTGATCGATCGTTTTCACCCTTATCAGTAGCCGTTCGCCTCCTTCAAATCTCGAGCCCAGCGAGTGAGGGGTGGAATCTTGGGGAGGATAGGATCGTGTGGTGAATGCTGCGCGATAGACATGTAAAGATTCTGGAGTCTTCCAATTAGAACATCCATAATTTGAGGCACGACTTGGGCGATGTCGGGGTCCTGTGTAGAGTCATAAGCATGTGCCGAAACAAATAAACTGCCCTGGGTTAGAACATACATGGATATTGACAGTGCGGAAGACTTGCTTGAGCCAGTCAAGACGTTCCGACACATTTGTCTCAAGGGAAGATGTGACAGCAGCGCTGACTGAAAGGGACAGAAGTGGCGAAAGAGTTGTGAGATAGTCCGAGCCATAATTGACGAAGAGGTTGTCAAAAAGCTCGGCCTGATGGGAAGATTGAAGCCACTAGAACATCGTTAATAAGCTGGTCGCGCGTGACAAGAAAGGGTCCACTTACTTTTACTGATGCTTCTTCGTAGTCACCAGCTTCCATCAGTCGAGTGATCTCTCGTAATTCTGCTTCCTCAGGGGATAGCTCAGGTGAAGGGCGCTCCTCAACTACAGGTCCAGGAGCAGCAGCACGCGGTTCTTGAGCAGCTACTTGCATCTCTTCAAAGCGACGACTCATTTCTAGGATTTCGCCTTGAAATTTCGTCTGAGACGCCGCCATGGTTGAAATCACTTGAACTAAAGAGTTTACTTGAGTAGTAAGCTGCTCAATCTTGAAGCTATCGGTCATACGTTGCGTCTCAAACTGGTTGATCTTCGAAGCGAGCATTTGCTCGACATCAGTGACCAACTTCTCAGCTGTACGCGTAAACTCATTTTTGATTGTCGGCATAATCTTGTTGCGAACGGCATTGTTAAGTTCGCTTTCCACACTTTTAACGACAGCAGGCGCCACTAATTCGGATAGACATTTGAGCGTATTCGGTGCTTGTAACGAACGAGTAACGGCGTCGGGGAAAACATTGCTAATAGATTGAGGAATCGTCGCACGAAGATTCTTACTAAGTTCTTCAGCTACCTTCTTTTCCAAAGATGCAGCTGTCACATTCCTGATAGTTGGTACGACGGTTGACTGAATATTATCACTGATAATACGGGCAAGGCTCTTTTCAACGTTCTCGGACAGAGTACTGGAGACAAGGCGCAACATCGCGTCCTGCCGCGCTTTTGACAGGTCATCCTGGGAACGTCTGTCTTCGCTAAAGCGGTCGTAAAACCCTCCAAGCTCATGGTTAAGACATTTAGAGAATTCTGCAGATAAAGCTTCCTTAACGTCGTTAATTCCCTTGGCCCAGACATCAGTCGACGTGTCTGTCATGGGCACGATCGCAGATAAGTGAAGCTTTTCGACTTGAGATTTCTCAACCAGGGATGTTTTGACAGCTTTGGCTGGCTCAGTTTCTTGCTGAACGTCTCCATTAGCAAGTGCTTGTGGTGCTTCAATAACCTCTTTTGCCTTGGTGCCATTCTCCGCTGCACCCTTTTTCTTCTTCTTTTTCTCAGGCTTCTCAGAGGAAGCTGGCTCCAA